GTTAGTCAATCCAGGAGGATGATTGAGAGAACCAGAAGCGAAGAAGGAGTGGAAAGCCTGGACTATAGGCAAAGTCTCCAGCAGGGAGACGGTGCCCGAGAATGCAGAAACGCACAGGAGACACGGCCGCAAGAATGTATCGCAAGATACAGAGCAGCAAGGTACTGCTCTCGCCCGGGAGTTCTTCTCGATGGAATGTTGCAGCACTCTTCGAATTGGGCAAACTCATCTCAACGCCCTTGCCGCACGGGCCAGAGAAGTGGCAGATGGTCGTCCCATTCGTTGTTTCCAGGGAGTTTCCGGTTAGAGGTGGGGAAAAGGAGATTGGATGGAACCTACCTTGTTGAAGTTAAAGTGGTGGTGAAGTTGTGGGGAGCAGCAGAGCTGCTAGGAGCGCCGTTGCTGCATTGAGCCTGGCAACCGTTTTCGATAAGGCAGTGGTCTGCGGTGTTTCCACAGTATCTACATTCAAAAGTCAGATAAGCTTCAAATAGTATCGCGGAGAACTTGCCCATATTGAGAACAGCAGCCACCGTAACCTCCGTTGGGATCGCAAGTTGCTCCGCCGAAGTCCGTACCACATCGGCCGTCGGCTCTCGGAGGCGCGCTGGCACGGGGGCTGGGCGTAGGGGTAACTGTTAACGTAGACGTCTCTGTGACGGCCGTAGGAGTGAATGTGGACGTGAGAGTAGCGAACGATGTTGTCGTTGTTCTCGACGTTGTTGTCCTATTAACAGTCTGCGTAAACGTGACCGTGTTAAAAACCGTATTGTCCTGTGTAATCGTATTGGCGCTTGCGGTAGTCACGAACTGAGTAGTTGTGGTGCCGCTGGTCACAGTGGAAGTAACTGGCGCCGGCGTGACCGTTGACGTAACAGGCGCCGGGGTGACAGTGGAAGTAACTGGTGCCGGAGTAATCGTTGAAGTGACTGGCGCTGGCGTAACTGTCGAGGTAACTGGCACTGGGGTAACGGTCGAAGTAACTGGTGCTGGAGTGACGGTCGAAGTAACTGCCGGAGGCGTAGATGTGAAGCTTGAAGTAACCGTTGAAGTAACGGGTGCTGGCGTGACCGGTTGAAGTAACGGGGTGCTGGCGTGACTGTAGACGTGACCGCTGCCGGTGTAAAAGTAGTCGTAACGCTTGACGTGACCGTAGAAGTGACTGGCGTAGGCGTAACCGTCACCGTCACGGCAGCTGGGGTGAACGTTGTCGTGACTGTGCTGAGACTCGTGGCGGTGCTACTCACAGTAGCTGTAGTCGTCGTCGGCACGCTTTCAGTGACTGTCGTCGAGACGCTCTCCGTTATTGTCGTGGATATACTTGTCGTCGTTGTGAACGTCTTTGGTTGGTTGGCGGAAATCTATTGACATCAGCAAGCTGTCAGGATTTAGTCAGGTCTGTATGTTTAAGCTGTGTATGGTATGAAGCCTGTTGTATTGTCAGCATAAAACGAGAGTTTTCACTCTGGTAAAGAGAATAGAAGGCTCGGAAGCTGCTGCATTGCTAAGGGTCGCAGAGCAGCTTCTTGGGGTCGTCAGCGTGTCCAGCTCGTCGAACGGGCGGAGGTTGCGCAATGATGAGCATATCGGGATCAGAGATGCGAGTCGCGAACTTCGCGGCAGTCAATCGAACCCTGATGGCAGGAAAAGTACACAATGCCGCACATTCCAAAGCTGTCGAGTCAAAAGTCGGTACGGAAGGAAGATTCGCTGTTTGTTGGAATGAAACATCGGCAGTCGAGCATATGCCAGTTTAGGAACTCGCTTCACTTTGCATCAAACTGACCATCTCGCGTGAGTATAGCGAATAAAGAGATGCGACTGTTCACGAATCAACGAGACGTGTGCATAGGGATGCTTGATGTCAATTGACAAGTCGCAATGGCGTCTTCGAGCATGTCGGTGGACCACACAGAGACATCAGGCCATCTCGCCCCGAGGACATCGAGCTCGTCCAAGAAAGTTGCAATGGCGTACGTCAACGAAAGGCAGGGACAGGCAAGCTCCCATGCAAGGTGCTATCGATTGCCCCCTTGCGCTATCTGCAGCATTCACGTTTGGAAGACTTAGCGTCCAAAGTAGGAATTGCATTATCATGATGGCGCGGAGCAAAAACTAGAATAGAGTACTGCGAGAAAGATGCACGTGAGCGATCAGACGTTGTTCTCGCGACGTAGAACATTGGAAGACGCGTCGAAAGCGCGCTAGTACGGAATAAGATACTTAGCCGATTCCGATCAACTTCGACGTCATTGGCTTGAACCTAGCCTAGACACGTGCAGTACTCCTTCACCCAAAATCGCCCCAGCTTGCGTGCGAAAGGTCGAGAAATTAGCGAAATGAGATTTCAGTGGCTTATATTAAATACAAGAGTCATTGCCGAGCATGGAAATGATTTTCGGCACATATATCACATCTGTAGACATCTCGACCTCCACTCACATGGCAGTAGAGTGGCTTACAGACGGACAAAAAGCCTTGGTATCTCCAGGAGCTAGACGTCCCGTTGCAAAGCCACGCATGCGTTTTGAAACACTCGCGAAAACCTCCAGCCTTCTTGATCCTAACATGTGTGAAGTGTCGCAACAGAATTATCATGCTGTAAATGCAGTTTTTGAATCCGACTGCTGTATCAAAAGTCTGAGCCTACTATACCGTATCTGTGAATAAATAATCGCAATGGCATACAATAAATCACTGGTCTGCGAGAGCCTGCAACGCGAACGGATCGATTATAATTTCTTCATTAACTCAGTATCGTAGAATAAAACACCGAAGTCCTCGCGGATAATTTATGAAGTGCTCATGCCTGCATTTCTCTCCCTATTCCGCGGCACGATTTCAAAGAATTAGCAATTAGTGCAGCATTACGATAAACAATCTATCCGTGGATGTGCGGAAGAAGATACAATCGGTACACATAGAAGTCATCAGGCTTTTCTGCTACACCACCCTGCTCGCCTACGAAATTCCCAAAAATAAACGATGGAATGTGGTGTGATGCGAGCATGCTATCACCACGAGCTGTGAAGCTTTGAGCTAAAGGGCGACAGATCCAGGGATATTGCTGCATTTGTGAGAGCAGATGTAGAATGCTGGTGTTAATTGTTCGATAGATCCGACTACGGAGTTTGCGAGTGGCATTGTGTTAGGAACAATGCATCACAATTTTGATAGCAATGTCGGATGAGCAGAGGATCTAAATGCCATTATGGGGAGTCGTTTATGTATTCTTGATGATGAATATTGCAGACTAGTCTGAGATCGTATGGTCCAGCGCCTCTTCCGCTTCGCGTCTGATATCGGAAAATGTCAAAGCGCCGTGTTGTCTCAACAAGTCGATGCAGTCCTGATGTCCGCCTTCAATAGCGAGGTCAAGCGGCGTTCCATTGCAAAAATTCTTCTTTGCATTGTTCCAAAACGAACCCATTGGGTTGATAGACACGCCATGCAACTGTAGTAGGTAATTGACACCATCGCGGAAGCCTTGCCGTGCGGCTTCAGCTAGTGGCGTGTGAAGTTCACCTCCTCTTTCGTCGATGTCACACAACGGCCCAAGAAATTCCATGATCTCGAGGTGGCGTCCGCTGGTCGCTGCCCAGAATGGTGTGTGGAATAGGAACAATCTGCTCATCTTTTCCCAATCCGTGATTCGTGATATTGATTTGACGATATCCAGATGACCATTATGCGCAGCAAGATGCAGTGGAGTATCGACATTGTCATCTGTATAGATGAGATTATCCTGGAACGACTCAATGTCGGTGTTGTAAAGCTCAAGGAGGTATGCAACGAGGTCCGGATGTCCGAAGCATGCCGCCCAATGAAGGCATGTGCGTCCTGTGGGCATCGATACGTGTTCGAGCAAGGTTAATTGGTTGCAGAGTTCGATACTGCTGTCTAATGCGATGGTAAAGACTTCTACATTGCCGTGAATAGCAGCAACGTGAAGAATGTCCAGACCAAGCATCTCATAGTCATCATTAAACCACATGGATCTGGAAACATCTTCTAGATCGGAGATGACCTGCTGATCGGCGGTCAAAGAGCATGCTATGTGAAGTCTTGATCGTCCTAGCACGTCTCTACCATCTTCGTAGGCAATATATCGAAATTGCTCGTCGATTTTGTTGTCTTGGAACATATGGCCCACGGGACGTCCGAGGCAATCAATCCGACCGTCATCTTTTATGACTTTTACAAGACGCGGTAGTTGAAACAAGGCTGACGGCATGAACAGTTGCGTCTTAGTCAGGTCGATAAAGACGTTACCCCAGCGAATTTTGAGCCCGAGATGATGTCTTTGAAGTACTTCGCCGAGACAGTTGATGAAAGCATTTCTGATGATGATCATCTCTTTTATGTTCTCATCGCTTTGGCAGGTGGGATACTGTAGTTTGCCGATATGTAGCAGAGTTGCGACCCCATGATGTTTTTGAGCTCTGTACTTGGCAATGGTCGATTCGAGTACATCGAGGGATTCAGCTTCGTCGAAGAATTGAGGCGTATACATGATGTCTAAAGTAGCTCTGATAATTATTTGAGCTACTTCACCTGTATATTTCAAGAGCTTTTCTCGGATGTCTTCAAGCAGTAACGCATAATCTGAAACGACATGTTCCAGGAGTCTACCGTGAATGGCCCAGGATCTGTCACCTTTCAAAGGCATCAGTTGTTGTTTTCCAATCCTTAGCAGCTCGTCGACAGCTTGACTTAGGATGTGTTGTAGACTCAGAAGGGCAAGTCTGCACAATGTTAGCGAGCTGCCAGCAGGATCTAAGGCTCAAACTCACGCATCATGAACATCGATATCTGAACTTGGGTCAATCAACGCAGGCGGAGAATAGATGTAGCTTTCTTGTATGGAAGTATGTCGCAATGTTGTCTTGCGCGCCGGCGCTGAGCAGGGTAGACCTTTCTGACAGCACCGTGTGCATTTTTTGGCTCCTAGTTCTTGCTCAATTGGGATACACTGTACAAGGTCAGATTATTGATACGGATATAAAGCACTGTTGCTGGTGAAAATGACCTTGACTTTGGCCTTCCTGCAAAAGGTGCAGCTCAGAAAATTCAGCTTACGAGGCGGTCTCTTCCGCCGAGGTGCAAGGCTGCCTTGGTAGCTAAAGGTTGGCCCCACGGATGCCATCATCGTAATTCGAAGACCAGGTTACAAAAAGTTGCGAAGACTGGTCCAGTAATTTCATGTACGCATTCGAGTGCGTCACTTATATAATCGCCGCGAAGGCGGAGAAGGCTGTACACCTTATAGGTGCCAGGAACATACAGCGACACTTTCGGTGAATCGTTACCGATGTATTCTTGCAGCATTGACTATGTGCTTGACTTGCAGCCAACGAATCAAAAGCATCACGCACTGAAGTGCGACCGCAATCGCGGTTATTTCTAGCACCCCAGGCAACTAGCCTGCAATCTGATATTGCCAGGCCGTCGCGTCTGCCTATCAAAGACATTGCGCACTGAAGTGCGACCCCGCTTGCAGTCCCTCATCGCATCCGTGAGCTGCCTCTGTCAGTTCCAGCCCCGGGTCAGTGTTCCCATTCAATAGCCCCGCGCACTGAAGTGCGTCGAAGGCCAAGCCACAGGCCATCATTTTGGCCACTCGAGAACACGACGCACTGGAGTGCGGTCGCAATTGCAATCATTCTTGGCTGCACCCCTTGCGGCAAGTCTTCGCCTCTCTCCAGATACTGCCTCAGGCCAATGCGTCGGCCAATCAAAAATGCGCGCACTCTGGTGCGATGCAGGTTGCTGATGGCGGAACGATCATCCTTTTGCACTGCATGTCTTCGAGGCGCGGGATCTCGCATCTCAATCCGCGAAGCAATCTCAGAGGCAACGCACTTGAGTGCGATGCGGAACCTGAGTTGACATCCCCATTGATGCAGCCAAAAGTTGTGCACCCAACGATGAGCCTTTCGCACTGTACGCACTGTGTTGTAGTGTTCCCTGTTTGGGAGAGCAAGGCTCATTCCAAGAGCAGCTGGTAGAATATAAGAGAGACACAAAACTCGCCGTTTTGTCCGGTTGCGTATCAAACATTCGAATTCAAGTGGCTGGTCAGTCAAGCTCAAATTGTTCACAGCCATGCTTTCCCTTTTCTCACCTCTCGAGAACCGGCAGTCCAGCTTCAATCTTGGCCTAGACGGCTCTCAGCTCAGCGCTCGCTCGTCCTCAAGAAGCCCAGCAAACTTTTTCAAAATATCGCAGGCATTGTTCGCAGGTCTTTCTGTCATCATCGGACTACTTGCCTTGGTGATTGGGTTGCTCCAGCTACGAAAACATCGCAAGCGCCGTCTGCCTCAAGACAATAACCTCGTCTTCGAACTTGAGGCATACTACCCAGAGGTAGAGTAGAGTGTTTGCCTGCTCAGGCAATACAGCTAATCTTCAGCAGACGATCCGGCAAAACGGAGTCAGGACTACGAATGAAAGGTCATAGTTCGGACAAAGTTTGGAAAGCGAGAAACCCGCGTTGGTTGATCGAGAGTCGCGTGCTTCTACTGGAGGGCCATAGATGCAGTCGGCCCTACCGTAGAACATTTACTATTCGAGAACAAACATGTTGAACTTTTCCCTGAACAAATTTAATCCAGTGGATGCATTCGCCCCAGAAAAGCTTGTTCGACGGTGAGAGCGGATGAGTCGGCATCTCTTGAGACAGGTGTGGAAGGCTTGAGGCGGTGCAACGTGTGCATGGCCACACATTGGTTCGGCCGTGAAAAATACATGCAGCTGAAGAAGGCGATTGGAGTGAAGGCGCAGGCTGGATGAAGTCAGAATTGTTGATGGAAAGAGTGGTGGCGGCAGTGTTGAAGCAGCTGCAGGGTTCAGGAACTAGAAAGCTTGGATCGTTAGCGTGAAGTGACGTACTCCACGCCTCCGGTCTAGTTCGCCCGCCATGCACCACACTGACACAATACCTGCGACCTATATGCCATTGCCATGTGCGCAACACCTAATATAGCCCCCTATTTCTCCGTCCTACGAGCCTGATCATGGTGCGCAGATACTCTGACGTTATTTGCATGTGAGCCGCGTACTGACCACGGCCAGGCCTCATTGTTGCGCCAGATTGTAGCCGGGCCACGCGCCAGGCATGCTGAAGCCGGCCTCGATCTCTGCTATGTCACAGATAACAGTAAATATGCGCTTAATTACACATACAAAGATCAGGCTGATCACGTGCAGTCATTGCGACTTCCGGCCCCAGCGGCACATATCCACAGCGCGCATACCGCAACCCTCTCGACTCTCTCGTGAAGTTCCTCGACTCCAAGCATGGCGACGACTGGGCGATATGGGAGTTCCGCGCCGAAGGGACGGGCTACCCAGACTCGGAAGTCTACGACCGGGTCTACCATTATCCGTTCCCCGACCACCACCCGCCGCCGTTCGCGCTGATACCGAACATCATGGCCAGCATGCGCAACTGGCTGCACGAGAAGAAGGGCCGAGTAGTGGTCGTTCACTGCAAAGCTGGGAAGGGGCGATCAGGAACGGCCAGCTGTAGCTACCTGATCAGCGAGGAAGGCTGGCCGGTGCACAAGGCCCTGCAGCGCTTCACCGAACGGCGCATGCGGCCAAACATGGGCAAAGGAGTCAGCATACCTAGTCAGCTGCGGTGGATCGGCTATGTCGACCGCTGGGCCAAACACGGCAAACTCTACGTGGAGAGGCAGGTGGAGGTCATGGAAGTCCACTGCTGGGGCCTCAGGGACGGCGTCAAGATACAGATTGAGGGCTTTGTCGAAGACGGCAAGCTCATCAAGAACTTCCATACCTTTACACGAGACGAAAGGGAGATTGTCCGCGGCGAAGTCAAGACTACAGGCATGGCGCAAGCTGTGCAGGAGGTTATGTACAAGAACGGCTGGGGCAGCTCGAAGAGCGTGCAAGGATCCAAGAATACTAGTAGAACGTCCTTGGACAAAGAGCCGACGCCAGACAACATCGACGGTGCAACTGCGTCGAAGCGAAACTCGCAAGAAAGCTTACCCTTGGGCACCGGTGACGTCGTCTTTCGCCCTAAAACGCGCGTCGTACTCCCTACCAGCGACATCAACATCGACGTCGAACGTCGCAACAATGCCGCCTTCGATCTGACAATGGTCACAGCGGTCGCGCACGTGTGGTTCAACACCTTCTTTGAGGGCAACGGTCCCGAGCAGATGGGCAAGGCAGATGAGTCTGGCATGTTCCAAATCGAATGGGACGCCATGGATGGCATCAAAGGCTCGTCGCGCAAGGGCACGCAGGCGTTCGAGCGAATCGCCGTAGTATGGCGAGCACTCTCTGCCGAGGAAGGGCGACCTGGCGTGATCATTACGGAGCCACGAGAGGGCGAGGAAGTGCCGCAATCCAAGCCCGCTGACTGGAAAGGTGCGAAAGGCGTTGAGCCGAGCGAAAGCAAAGATCTGGGTCTTCGCACTGCAAGCCCCGAAAACTCCGAGTCGAACCTTAGCAAGGCGAACAGTGTCAGAAGCCAGAACGACAAGAAACCGAACATCGTTTCAGCCACAGGTAGGAAGGACAGCGGCGACAGCGATACTGCAGTTGTTCGTCCACATGGTCCAAATGGCGAGGAGGTGGTCCAAGAGCCCATGAGTGCCAGGACCAGTACCGACGCACGCGGAACTGGAGGCGGGCCGCAAGCGACCGCTTCGGAACCCCTGCTGCCAAGCCAGTCTGATGGCACGGTTGACACTAATGTCGACGCAAGATCGCGCGAACAAGCTGCCGGGTCGCACAAGAGCGAAGGTCCTATCCAGGCCCTCAAATATCACGTCTCGGGTGCCGCATCTACCAATGATCTACCCGATGGTCGCCCAGAATCCGAAATGAAGACCATCAAGGAGCATACGCTAGGACACCTGGCGAAGAAGAAGCACAACTCATAGACATTTTAGATATTGACCGGTATCGCTTGCACGAATACCAGGACTCACGAAGAGCCGTTGTCTCGGAAAGTGGGTACACTTTCGGAACCAATTATGCATGATCGGGCAACGCGATAGTCAGCGCTTGCTACAGCGTATGACAGGCGTGCACGAAGCGTGTTCTCATACGTGGTGCAGGGCGCGGTATGCATGGATGAGGCGTTGGACACTGAGGTACATGGTTGGCATTCTGCCACGGGTCACAAGTCGATGTTGATCAACCAGATATTAATTTTCTTTTGCAATTTCATGATACACCACCCGCTACCCAGAACTCTGGTACACATCTTTTGTCACACCTTGACTCGAGCATGAAGACTGATACAGAGCAGCACAATTCCAAAAAGTGAGGCGAATACAACCACCTGTTTCTCCAGGGCGGTGAGAGCTGCCAGCTAGCGTGATTCCCCATGCATCGCTAACGCGGCCTGTGGCCATTCATCAACACACACGCGCAACTTCTGCATCCTTTCGAGCCTTCGTGGGAACACAGAACTTTACTTAGTGGGCGAACCATGGTGATATGCGGGTGCCGGATGGAAGCAAAGTGCAGGGCACTTCCGCCACGGATACAAAAAGGCCAAGCGTGGTCTGTATATAAGCCGGCAATGCGCGTCAGCAATGAGGGTGCTTCTCATTGCGTGCATTTTGAAGAAGAATCGCTTCGGCATACCCAAAGCGATCAAAGTCATCTCCCCATTGCGCGAGCTCCGTGTGCGACCTTAGAACAAGGCTGCAGGCAGATTAAGCTACTACCATTGGATATTCGTACTCACCGGTCAACTCATCACCATCGTTATTGAACCAATACAAATCAACAACACTCTCTCCAGAAGCCCAGGCAACAGCAGATTCGTGACCAAGTATGTACGGCATCCATCTCCGAAGCCTGTGCTGATCAAGCCCGAGGCGCACTTCGGAAGTGTTGAGTGCCATCTAGTCGTGTGTAACCCTCCAATCGCCATTGCGGGGTAGACATCTGACCGTTGTGACATACATTCGAAGCCTAGGATAGGTGCCATCTATGATTAGCGCACAGCTCAGGATAGTAGATTCCGAGTCCAGCCAGGCAGCACATGCGGCTCTGCTTTGGTATAGATAAAGGCCATCATCAGGTGAGTAATTCCGAAACGCCTCTCCTCCCAGCCTTGACCCAGCCGTCTTCCTGCACCTCGCTCCTGGATATCGACTCTGAGATCAAGCGTTCGTGGAATACTAACGCCCTTGACTAGCCATCTCCGTGCCCACTCACACTGTCTGTATCATCGAACCATTCACGTGTATTTGGCTTTTGACGGAACCCGCCATATCCCGATCCATGAACGACCAAACTACCAAAAAAACGTCTTCTCTATCTGTATCTAAACAACAAAAATTGTCCGACACTTCTAGCTCTTCACCAGTCATTGTTCCCACACCGTCCGTGACATCAGAACCTGACGATCTTGCGTTGCGGGACAAATCCAGAATGGACTCTTCGCAGGATCAAGTCGAGGCTCAGGCGGCTCAAGAAGTCCAGAAATTGGAAGAGCAAGAGCAACCAGTTCCTCCTCCACCTGCCGATGATGTTAAGGTTGATCTCACTACAGATCTGAAGAAAGCACGTGGAGACAAGAAGGTCAAGCGGTCCGTGAAGAAGTCCAAACATGTCGTCATTGAAAGTTCATCGTCTGAGTCTAGTGAAGATAGTGACAGTGAATCGGAATCTAGCAGCGAAGACGAAAAGACCAAGCGTAAGAGGAAGCAGAAGACCGCAGCTAAGCGAGCCGCAGCCAAGAAGAAGCAAAAGGCGAAGGCTAAATCGAAGAAGAGTAAAAGCAAAAAGATCGAATCTTCCAGTGACGATGCAAGCTCCTTGGACTCGGAATCGGAATCGGATGTTGAGGTCGTCAGGTCAGACAAGAAGAGTCGCCGCAAAGCACTCAAACTCAAAGCGAAAAAGAAGAAGACTAAAAAAGTCGAGATTCCCAGCGAAGACAACAGCGACTCCTCGTCCAGCTCCTCAGACTCATCAGATAGCGAATCAGAATCTGAAGATGAGCACTCAAAGCGAAGGCGAGCCAAAGCCAAGCGCAAGAACAAGAAGTCTAGGACAGTTGAGCTGTCCTCATCCGAAGAATTGTCTGCAGACGACGAACCACCAGTACCGCCCCCCGCTATTCCGATAGACGCGCCAGTTCCACGTGCCGACATCAATACCCAGGTTGCTCATGTGGAGAGCATACTGGTGGGTCTCAAAGCACAGCAGGTGGCTGGTGCCGCTACTCCTGCCGTCGTCAAGCTTGACAAGCCTGTCAAGAAGAATGCTTTGGAGTTCAAGCGTGTGGACCAGGTCTTTGACATGAAGATTCGCGACTGGAAGCTTGTCGAAAGCAACAATGATACCAAAGATGAGTTTGACTGCGTGTTCACGGTCCGCAGGAGGCTTAATTGGGAGGGCAAGTACCAGGAGACGCAGGTCGATATCAAGTCAAAGGTCCTCCGAAACTGCCTGCAGGAGGTCTTCAAAGAATGCAAGAGCATCAGTTTGGTTGAAGATACGCCTCAGCTTGACCCACATACGCTATTTCATTACTACGACGAGCTCAAAGCGCATGTCAAGAAGGAGTTGAAGCCGAAGCTCAAACGCGCCAAGAAGTCAAAGGACAGGAAGTTGCGCACCCAGCAAATTGCACAGTGCAAGCTTTTGCTAAAGTACCTAGATGAGGATTACACGTCTGTACGTAAAGCTCTGAAGCCGATGCTCAAGGCCGGCACCATCACCTACGATTTGGTGTGGGCGCTGTTCAAGCCTAATACTATCGCCTTCACACCGACATATGCGAACAAGGACGACCCGCGATGCTTCCGAGTCGACTTTTCGTACGAGTATGAGAGCTGGCTAACGCAGGCAAAATCTTTGGTGGTTGATGGAAGGTATCTGGAGTACGATGGAAAGCACTTTGGATTGGGCGATCACCAAGTCCAGATTCAAGCTTTCAAGGGTCACAAGAAGATTACGTCTCTTTCCGCATATCCGCTGAAGTACCACAAGGATCCGGAGGTAAGCAATCTTCATGCTGAGCACTTGTGATTGATTTGACTAACATCGTGCAGGGCGTGAGGAAGCAGCTCATCGAGCGAGGCAAGAAATTTGTGGCGCTTCAAGGCATGAACTACCGCCTTCAGAAGGGCATCGCCTACATGAAGCACAAGAACAGCGTCGTGCGCTTCAACATTAACGGCCGCGTCATGATTGACCCAGCAATTTTCCGCCGCATCAACCCCAACTACCAGCTCTCTTACATCAAGCACGATGAGCTGGAGCAAGACGAAGAAGGTGGCGACGAAGATGACAGCGATGACTGCTGTTGCGAAGACGACGACGAGGAAGAGGGCTCCAGCACAGACAAAGACAAGCTCCGCATGGTAATGTGGAAGGACAGCAACGGCACAAAACACCCCATCAAGCTCCCACAAAGCGTCATCACCCAAGAATCCAACAGCAATCCTGAAGTCACTCTCGAAGCCACCGAAGACGACGGCCCAGACAACAAATCCCATGTCTTCACCGAAGAAGAGCTCCTGATCGCCTCCCCAGTTGTCCTGGGCTTCGCCTTCTCTGAGAAATACTGGCTCGAATTCTCCCTCGCCGGCATCGAAGACATCAAGTGGAACCCCGAAGCCTTCGAATCCCTCGTCCTGCCCGACCGCATAAAGCAGAACCTTAAAGGCCTCGTCTCCTCGCACCGCTTCAACGCCGCCAAAACCATCGACGACGTCATCCAAGGCAAGGGCAAGGGCCTCAACGTCGTACTCCATGGCCCTCCCGGCGTCGGCAAAACACTCACAGGCGAGAGTATCGCAGAGTACCTCAAGTGCCCACTATACGCCGTGTCCGCCGGCGAACTCGGCACCAACAGCAAGTCTCTCGAACAAGACCTCAACCGCATAATGGACATTACGCATTCCTGGGGCGCGATCCTCCTGCTCGACGAAGCGGACGTGTTTCTAGAAGCACGCCAGCCCCACGACATTCACCGCAACAGTCTGGTATCTGTGTTCCTGCGCCTGACGGAGTACTACCAGGGCATATTGTTCCTGACGACGAATCGCGTAGAAACATTCGACGAAGCCTTCCAGAGCCGCATACACATGGGCATCCGCTACGAGAACCTGCCGCCCAAGGCGCGCAAGAAGATCTGGCAGCACCATGTGGGCAAGGTGGAGGAGATGGCTGGGGCGGAGGGCGGGAAGGTGTTTAGCCCCGGGGATTTCGAGGAGTTGAGTAAGAGGAATATGAATGGGCGACAGGTACGTATCTCACTTCTAGCATGGAGCGAATGGTTTGCTGACAGTTTGTGTAGATTAAAAACACGGTCAAGACGAGCCAGAGCATCGCACTCGCGGAGAAATCCCCATTTAGCATGGAGCATGTTAAGCGCGTGTTGGAGGTTGCAGAGGCGTTTGAGGATGATATGAGAGGCGGAAAGGGATATAGGGATGCGATGAGGCATTACACATAGTCTACTCGCTCGCTGAGTAGGGGATACATTCTAGATTGTATTTTGTATTTTACGCGGCGAGATTTAACGGCTGGCATTGGAACATGGAGACGGGATCGCGACACGCATAACGGTCATGGCTTCTGGTACACTTTTTTCTTTGTAGCATATCGTTCTCGTTCGGAGGGCTTCTTGTATGTTTGTAGTTTCACGGCCTTTTTATCTCCTCTCAATACGTACGTCTTGGTGTGAATGTTGGATTTTGCGTCTTTCGTGCGGTCGAGGATCAGGTGAGATGTGAGTTGAGAAACGATGGGCGAGGCGACGGGTGCTCTGTCGAGTGTGAAAGGTTTGCCGTGGTCTCGTGTCGCTGTCGTGGGTATCTTGTGGCCGCTAAGATGAGGCACTCTTCGGCACCATCATGAGAAACTGCGTTGCTGATGATACGAGACTCCATGTGCTTGCGGCCGCTGGCTTTTTCGTTGCTGTTGCGTCAGTACAAGCAGGTGAGGCGCTGCCCTCGGTGCCCTCGAAGGCGGCGCAATGCGATCTCGGATGTCTATCAAAGGCGATTTTGTAAGCTCATCAATGATGTGTATTTCATGATTGTGCGGAATGGAGGTTCTGTCGCGCTCGTGTTGTCGCTGGCTCGCTGGCAGGTGGCCGCACGGCTGAACGGTGCGCGCTCAGTGCCACCATGATAGGCGCATGATGCTGTAGGTGACCCAAGACCTGGAAATTGACGTCTCTATCGCTTTCTCAAAGTCGCGATCGTGGTTTTAGTCGCAGTTCCTGCGATGAGAGCACTCTCGCTGTTATGTGCCCACATGTCACTCGTGTCCGCTTGCGCACACAGCTGCTGCTCACAACGACTGCCAGGACAGCGTGGATAGCGTTCATCATGGGATATACGCACGATTGTAACAAGGGTTTCTTTGAAATGTCTATATTTGTGTTCGTGACAGGCAAGTTGGGCTGCCTGGGCTCACTCGGATGTGAAAGCAACATTGGAAGAGACGTCACAACACCATCAGTACCACTATGATACTCGCTGCGCATTCCTAAATTGACGGAATAGCACATTTGTCTCTCTGATGGCAAGCACTGATTAAGCACGAGCTCATGTCACAGCACACTCGCCTCTAACACCTTGATGTCCGGTACTTCACCATAACAATTCGGGGAGATCAGTGCGCGAACAACGCCCTGCAGGTTCTTTTTTTTTGCAGCAACATCACACCCAGAGGCTTAACAAAGCCTATTTAAAGGCCTGTAAACACAGGAGTTACGTGGATACTTTCGGACTATCATCTAGTCGCACATGCGTGAGGATGAAGGCGATATCACGTGTGTTACATTTGCTACATTCGAATGGCCGTCTATCTACAAGAAACTTCAACTATTCGGTTTCCAGACCCTCTAAGACCCATTTCCCAGCTGTTCCGACTAAATCTCGCCCCCAGCCCGCTTCTGTTCCGCCTTCACCTCGTCCTTCTGCCTACGCACAGACAAAAGCTCGGAGGGCGCACGGTCAGGGCACGGTCTCCCGGTGACTTAGCGCGCTCAGCCTGCTAGCGTCCCCTAGCGTATCCTCTCATAGTTATAAGCCCTCCGCGACAGGCTCCTCCATCCTCTCGACACCACACTCCCAAGATCACCTCAACTGGGCACCTTCTCCAACACATTCCTTCAAAATGTGGCTCATCACCAAGTCTCTTTCTAACTTTCCTCCTTGACTACTTCAATGTCTTCAATCAATTTCAACCTTGATCAACACTCAAGGTCATCAACCTTCTTCAACTTCACTCAACATGAGTGACATCAACACTCAAACACCATGGTCACTCATCAACATTACCTGACTCATGTCAACTTCGACCTTCATGTCACTCCAAGGTTTGATGACCTTCAACATTCATCACTTGTGCATCGAGCACTCCAAGTATGCTCATCCACCTTCATGTCCTGCTCACACTTACTGACTTCTTCAGGCACTCGACCTTGTCGCACCGCAGCATCAAATCATGACACCTCCAAGTCTTGCTTTCTTCCACCATCACTTTCAAGCACCTTGACACTTTATCAATGTCATTCACCTCTGCGTACGACCTGCGACAAGCTCTCGAGCTGCCAACCACACTTCACCACACTTCTTCATCAGTCTTGCAGGCGGCTTCGGCTCAGGTCAAACTGGACTGTTGAAAAAGTGTCGGTTCAACAAACCCACATTCGCTCTTCAACAAGCTCCCGAGCTTTCAACCACTTCTTCAGCAGCCATGCAGGCGGCTTCGGCTCAGGTCAAACTTGGCTGTTGAAGAAGTGGTTGTCCCATCGCCTCTTGACCCCGGTCACATCTCTTCCCTCTGTCACTCAGTCGTGTCCAACGTCATTTCCATTGTCACTTCTTCACTTTGTTTTGTCTGGTTGGCAGTCAAGAGCTTTGGCTCGGCCGTGTTGATAGGATTTTGATCACGTACTTGTCAGTCAAGAGCTTTGGCTCAACTGAAATGTTGGTGGTGGATGCTTGTCAAGAGCTTTTGCTCGACTTGGTTGTGGTTCGGAATAACATCAAAGAGAATACCTTGGCCTCAGGCCTCCCATCAACACACTTCCTCCCTCATGCTTATGTGATGCTTCCATTGTGACTGAATCATCTTGAATGTTCTTGCCATTTCCTATGGTGATGTTTGCACCTACTGCTTCCGATGCTTTCGTTCTTACTGCACAAACACAGTCGCATTGCTGTTGTTGCGCACTCTTGCATAGTGAGAGACATCTTACATCATGGAGTGACGAAAGAAAGCCCCGGTCCGCTTCCAGGTTCTAGAACATGGGCCGTGCCAAGCCATCTCCACAGCGCTTCGCTTCCCCGCCTCGTCCTCCTTGGGTCTCTGGAAATACACTCCTCGGGAATACCTCACACAGCGCGTAACATCCATGCAACACGACCGAGCCGGCGTCGCATTGCATCATTAACCACAGCTGGCCTTTTGCGAGAGCGCTGGCAACGTGTGCGCGCCGCTGTGCGCATCATGGACGATGCGCAACCGTCCACGTCTCCAGATGGCAGCGCGCAAGGAATTGATCGGCCAGCGAGAAAGAAGCAGAAGCGCAACAAGCCTACATTGAGCTGCGAAGAATGCGTCGAGCGCAAGACCAAGGTGAGTGCATGTTGCGAGAATCGCGGTCGGTCGCAACGTCGCGACACTGAGTGACGTGCATGACAACCTCGGGAGGAACACGATTGCTGAGACCGCCCACAGTGCGATCGCACTCGGCCTCATTGTCTGGCATGCATCAAGCGGCAGTCGACATGCAGGTATTCCGAGATCGCGAACTTGATCGCATCCTCATCAGACAAGTAAGTGTGCCTATTACAACCGTCATGGACGGCAAGCAAGCAATTGCTAAGCACCGCAGAGTTGGCGCCGCGCGTAATCCGGGGCGATCCAGAAAGACGAGCACCAAACCAACACTCGAAACTCAGCCACATGCGATGCCCGCTCAGGTACGGCAACGCTCATTTCTTATTCCCGAACGCTTATCAGGCGGGCGTTACGCGAACGGGTGTTCGCCCACCTTTTTATCGGACCGTGCGGAACGGTTCGCGAAGTGATGATGATAATGCTGAGCCTCATCCTGGTAATAAGCTGACCCGTAATCAAGGTGAATGTACAAGTACCGCCGACGCCGGTCGGATCGCAATACCGAAGCGTGTCATTGTCATCCTCGGGATCTTCGCCATTCTTGTTGTCTAATATTCCGTACTCGAATCATACACCAGCGCCCTTTTTCGGACTAGGCTCAGAGCATCCTTTTGCAAACTACTGGACCAGCCGCGGAGGCCTCGCTGAAGTCGTTGGAGTGTTACCCGCCAAGGAGCAGGCTGACATTCTTGTCGACAAGTACTTCGATGCAGTCGACCCGGTGTATCCCATGGTGCATCGGCGCAACTTCTATGCCGATTATGAACGTTTCTGGTCGCTGCCACCGGAAGAGAAGCAGGTCGCTGATCCGGTGCTGGTAGCACTGCACTTTGTTGTGTATGCCATGGGCACGCAATTCATTCATACGCCGTCGAACCAAGAGAGGGCGCCGATTGCAGAGTTCTACGTCTCAGCAGCACAACAGGCTTTGCGATTGTCGTCGTATCTCAGCCGGGCTTCAGTGCGGACACTGCAGGCGATGGTGCTAATAGGGTACTTCCTCATGAACGACAACCATGCTTCCGATGCATGGGCCTTTGGAGGTGTTTTAGTAAGACAGGCATACGCCATGGGCCTGCATCGCGATCCAGATACCATTGCTCCTCGATGTTCACGAAGTGACAAGCAACAGCGACGGAAACTCTGGCAAGCCATTTACTTCCAGGATACCTTCCTCACAGTGCTACTCAAACTCCCACCCACTACCACCTTCTCCGACATCCAGCCAGAGTCGCTGGGCGATGAACTTGACGACTACGTGCCGAATGGTGCTTCAACCAACGGCGCCGCAGACGCTGTGATCAATCCCATGAGTATTAGCAATATTGCCAGCATAACTGATCTGTACCCTCCGTACGAACTTTCAGATCGCAGATATATCCGGTCCATGTGGCATATGGCCAACCTCGTCTCGCGGACTGTCTGTACTCCGCGCTCCCTAGGCACGCCACTCACGACCTCCATCGAGCACAAAGAACAACTCGTAAATGAGTTCTTCGCGCTCCATCAAAGCTTCCCAGAAGCGCTGACTACCTCGGACGATCTTGCGATACGCGAGATGGCAGAGTTGAATGCTCGTGGACTGCGGCAGAATCTGTTCTTCCGGAGCAATTTCTGGCACTGCGTCATGGCTATACAAGCCGACGAGAATGCCCCAGGAGGCGTAGTGCCAGATGTCAAAGGCGCGCTTGAGGCGGCGAGGATGGCGTTGCAGGCGTTCTTCCATTTCTGGGAGTACCTCAAGACGGATGCGAGTGTGTGGTGGGTGTTCCAGCATCGGGCTTTTGAGGAAGCTGTGAGTACTCCTTCCCTCTGTCTTGCAGTAATATGCTAACACAATAATAGCTACTCATGGCGCGTATACTCGGACAGCAAGAACAACCGCTCTCACCGACACATAACGGCATGCCACCGTCTGCTGATCCACTGCTTCAGCTCGCGAAGGATGATGCGCGGAAATGCCTGGAGATACTGGATTTGGTGGGCATTGCGCCTGAGATGCAGAAGACGAGGACGGAGGTTTTGAGGACGGCATTTGCGGATATCCTATGGTAATTATGCGTAGGTATGAGCGTGGGGTAGACCTGGAGTTTGAGTGGCAAATTAATCGTACATATTGTGGGGGAGTAACCAGAGGCAAGGATGCATACAATACAATAGCCTGATGGCTTATATCGAAACTCGAGGTACAAGTGCATTGCTCTTGTACAGCTCACTCCAACATCAACTAATAACCCGCTCCTCAGTAGTTGTCCAATCACCTCTGACATGGTTCGCGTATCAATGAGTAGAACATTGATCCAAGCCTCATGCTAACGATGCTCGCCGACTGATATTTTCTTCAATGGTTTTCGGCAAGCTGCCAGTTCATTGCCCAAGTGCGAAAGAGTGCTACGTTGGCACCCTTAGTGTGATATGTTCTTAGACAGAGTATAACTCTTCTTTTGCCAGGCTACACCGAATTGCTAGCGAAGTTTCACAGACGAATCATCTACAAGTTGGCTACGAAGCGAGCTTACCCGATGGCATGGGGTAGCCGAGCACTCGTCCGTTCTCACCACGACATGCGTCTTGCTCTTTGATTCCGCGCCCTCTCTCCACATACAATAATCGAACTCGAGCATTGTGTAAACTTGTTCTTTGCTATATACACCAGCAGCTATATTTCTCCATTTTCAAAAAAGCTGCCACCTCGTCGAAGGTCATATCGTTGGAACTTCGGCGACGCCTTCACACGACAAATCGACTTTGAAAGAACGCGCCGTCCCACAAGGAAGCGCATTGTACCCGATGGAATCAAACGACCAGAACATGAATTACACATTGATATTCGGTGTTTCTGGCACCTTGATCGCTTGTGCAGCACTGTTGGTCGCTTTCTTGCAGTTGCGGAGGTCTAGGCGGGTACACCACCTGCACATCTACGAACTAGCGTAAGGCTAGCCCAGGTACATAGACGTTGTCACATCCGCGTCCGCGACCACAATTTGGTGCTCTGACTGACCCCGCATAAGTACATCTACATTACTGGCAAATGTCTTGAACATTGTGGTTTGAAACTCTGTGGAACGGGTTGGTGATAGGTGTTGAGTTGGATTTGCCTTCGACCGCATGATTGATGCGTCAGTCACAAATGTTTCTCCTTTGTATCGCGCATGTGCGAGATGATTTCATCGTGCACTGAATTGGTGTTCGTGATTATATGCTCCGTGGTTGGAGTAAAAGGAAAGATGTCATTAGTCGGTCTTACAGCGATTACATCCGCTCCGCTTTGCCAAATGCAGATTAGCCTATCTACTCCTCCATCGAAGCTTCCCCCAACCAAACTTTTGAGGTCTCACACGCCATTGCTCATGCCGCCGCGTCCTTTTGTCAACGACGCGCTCTGGCGATGTCTTTGCCCTGGATTTCCTGCCAATGTATCGACGCTGAGGACAGGACGTTCAATAGCGCTGCGCAATCGCCCACGTGAAGCTGGCGCCGCTCGCCAATTGCGCACATACAAACAGTCGACCGCACCTTCATCCCACAACGGCGCCTTCTTCTCCCAAGCAGACGCGCCTTCCTTCGGATCTCGAAATGCCCCACGATCCCACGCACCCCGCACCGCAGGCGCCAGACCCCCACTCGCCCAGCTCCCCACGTCCATACTCTACGAACATTTGCGCGAAGAAGGCGCAAGGGGAAATTTCGATGAAGTCTTCAACATCTGCCGAGTCTTGGTGAAGGACAGGGACGAATTGCCGAACAAGGAAATGTACAATGCGATACTGCACAGCTTTGCGAGCGACAGCAATGGCACGGCGGGAAAGGTGCGGAAGGTCCTGGATGAAATGGGGTTCTGGGCAGAGGAGGACAGCATAAACGGACAGACCAAGATTGAGCTGGATGCCAGAGGCTGCGAGTGTGTGCTGGAAGCTCTAGCCGTCCATCCCGACTACCTCCTCCGCACCGAGATCCTCGAATACATGAAGACGCGGTGGTTTCCGCTGACACCCCGGGGGGAGAATTATGTTGTAGCAGGTATGCTGCGGGAGCGCAACTTTGAGCAGGCTCTGGAGATGTTGGAGGGCATGGCCAACAGGCAGATCAAAATCGAGAATTGGCTCTTCCACAAGGCCATGTGGATACTGCTGGAGCATGGGGAAGTGGAAGAGGCTTTTTATGTCCTGAATCTCAAGGATAGCGTACAGCGCCAAAGTCAAGGTTTACAATCTCCGAGGCTCAGCAGTGCGCTCTGGTTAGCATTACTGGACGCGGCTTCAAGGCAACAACTTGTAAGCAATCCCGCACTTTTGCAACAATTCACGCTAACGACAACACAGTATGATGCTTCCAAAATGGTATGGACAACACAAGTCCAACCGGGCTACCTTAAACCAGGCACAGGCGCCTGTTTTTCTGTCCTCGCCGTAGCAGCTCGTCATGGCGATGTGCCACTGGCCACAGACGTATTTCGACTTCTCACTGAACGAGGGACCATTCTCACCACGCACCACTACGAGCTCCTTGTCAAGACATACCTTAACGCCGACGATCTTTCTGCTGCATTGTCCGTCATCCTCATCATGGCTGATACAAACATAAAGGTCGATGCTGGCACATGTCATCCTCTACTGTGGTATCTACGTCAGGAAAAGAAGGACGAATCAAGTCGGCCACTACGTGCATTCAAAATTTTGCAGGACTTCGAAGCCTCTGGTCGGAAAGTGCCAACCGCTGCTATTAACGCCTGTATACAAGCGAGCCTGGTCTTGGAGCGTTTTGAGGAGGGAATCGAAATATACAAGGCCTTGCATACTGTTTGTCATGCTGGACCCGACACGCAAACATTCAACATACTCTTCCAGGGCTGCCATAAATACGTGCGCAAAGAACTCGCCATGTTCCTGGCAAACGAGATGATAGAGCTCGGCCTCAAGCCAGACCGGCTAACCTACGACCGCCTTATTTGTGTGTGTCTACGAGGCAATGACTTGGAAGACGCCCTGCTATACTACGAGGAGATGAGGTCGACCCCGATAAAGAGCGGCTCGTCACGAATGATGCAGCCACGAAGGGGTACTTGGGGAGATCTCATAATGAAATGTGTGGAAAAGCGCGACGACAGAGCAGTGGCGCTACTAAAGGATTACAAGAAACTTGAAGAGGAGCCCCGCATAGCGGTGGAAAGGGCGGTTAGCGCATGCTTCAAAGAGACAGCGGAAGTGAAGCTGGAGGTCGCATCTGGAGAGCGCGAGCCGGGGCAGCAGGCATCCGATGGTCCAAGCCAGAACTCCATGCGCACAGATGCTGAGGGTGGCCGCGCCGAAAGCGGAAATCTCGGCATGGAGCAGCCCATGGCGGCTAGCGAGACACGAGAAAGTCAGAGGTAGAACGAGCAGTCAACGAACACAATATTCAGCAAGCACGTCGCTTTGAGCCTCATACAGCATCTTCATATACACCATCGCATTTCCGCAACTTCAACAGCGACAAATCTGAACAAGATTCACACCGAATGCACAAGCGGCGATTTGCCGACGCTCGGAGGTTGCTTGAGTCCGAAATACGAGCGACGGTGTGTCGCGCGGGCTACCGCTACTGGCATCGCGCAGTGGAGTCACGACGTGCCGAAGACACGTTATGACGAATGAGCAGCGCCAAATACCAAGCTTACTGCCAAAATGCTTGACTCGTGCCGAGGCCGCAGAGCCGCAACGCCACCAAACCCTGCAACCCGACCCACATGATAGCCTCAACGATGTTTGAGTTTTGATGTCACCTGCATCGCACTCCACACGCCGGTGAGCCCGTTTCTTGGGGTTCCACATGGGGTTCGCCAAACATGCCCGCCGATGGATGAACGTGCAAAAACGTTGCGATTGCTAATCATCGAGGCGCATCCGATGTTGTGGTTTTGACACGTTCGAGATCGGCAGAGACTTGTGAGCGTGCGTTATTTTCAGATAAGCACAACTAGCCTCGACGCGAGCGCATTGGCGATGCTTGACTAGTGATGGTCGCCTGTCAACGCTTCTTTGGTGACGAGCCTTTCGGCCAAATATGTCCGTCATGTTACAAAGTGTGGTCCTCTTTCCTATCTCCGGTGTTTCCCCCAAGTGTGGAGTCCCTCAGATGGACCCCAGAGCTTGCCCCCATAAGGTGCCCACTGCGCTCATCACACTATTGTGGGGTGGACAGAAAAAATGCTGGCGTGCATCGTACAAATAGCCGTCTGCCCCAGCGATGGTTTTTGCTTTCCTCAGGTGTCAGGTCATTTTCTTGTTCGCCCATCCATCTGTCGTCCGCCCACACCTCGAGTTCTTTATTGAATAGTAGCCATGGTGCTTACTGGCAAGTCTCTGCAGACGGCACAGCTGTTGCTGGTCGTATTGCCGGCTTTCGTCCTTTTTGGATACAACCAGTCTGGTGTTGGAGGTCTCCTATCCCTCCGCGATTGGAACGACCACTTCCCTCAGATCAACACCATTGATGCTAAAGGCGCTGAGAAGAGCCACAAATCGACCATCCAGGGAGCTGTTGTCGCTACCTTCACCATTGGCGCACTCTTCGGTGCTCTCTCCTGCACTTGGGCCGGAGACATTCTCGGACGACGAAAAGTCATCTTCGGTGCTGCGATCTTCACTTTCATTGGCGAAGTCTTGCAATGCACTAGCTTCCACCTTGCGCAGTTCGTCGTCGGCCGCTTCATCCTCGGATTCGGTGTTGGTGCATTGAGCGCCACGGTCCCTGTCTGGCAATCTGAATGCTCGTCTACAGCCAACCGCGGAAAGCACGTCGTCCTGGATGGCTGCTTCATCAGTCTGGGATATCTCCTCGAAGCATGGATCAACCTCGGATTCTTCGAAGTCAAGAACAACAAGCCCGTCCAATGGCGTCTTCCCCTCGCTATCCCAACTTTGATCTCCTTGGTCCCTCTGGCTGCCGTTTTCTCGATTCCCGAGAGTCCGCGATGGCTCGTGAACAAGGGCCGCGTTGAGGAAGCTCGCGCATCTTTGTCTGCATTCAAGGGTCTTGACCTGCACGACCCGGAGATCAGCGCTGAGGTCAGCGGCATCGAACTCGCCCTTGAAGAAACTGGCCGCAGCGCTGCCAAGCTCGGCGACATCTTCACCATGGGTAAGGACAAGCTATTCTACCGCTTCTCGCTGTGCATTTTCTTGCAGTTCCTGCAGCAAATGTGCGGAAGTAACTTGATCTCCACATACTCTACCGTAAGCCAAGACCCACGCTCTCTCAAGTGAAGTAAATGTTAACGCATGCCTCAGATCATCTTCCAACAAGGCCTCGGCCTCGACGCAGAAACCTCCCGCATCCTCTCCGGCGGCGCGCTCACCTGGAAATTCCTCTCCTGCTTCGTCGCCTTCTTCACCATCGACCGGTTCGGTCGCCGCAAGCTCTTCATGTTCTCTGGCGTCGGCATGGCGTCGTGCATGCTCGCGCTAGCCGTCGCGTCCTCGTTCCCGAAGACCAACTACAGCGCGCAAATCGCGTCTGCCTTCTTCGTGTTCATGTTCAACTTCTTCATCCCGATTGGCTTCCTGGGCGCCAACTTTTTGTACTGCACCGAGGTCGCGCCGACGAGGTTGCGCGTGGGCATGGCGGGCATTTCGACGGCGAATCATTGGTACGTTACTTCCACCCTCATACGATTTCACAAAACATCCCGCTAATTTTTAAATCCACAGGCTCTGGAACTTCGTAGTCAACATGGTAACCCCCGTGGCCATCGAGACCATCGGCTGGAGATACTACCTCGTCTTCCTCATCATCTCGGCCATCATCGTGCCCGTCGTGTGGTTCGGGTACCCCGAGACCATGGGCCGCAGTCTCGAGGAGCTCGAGATGATGTTCACCGAGCACGACAAGATCCGCGACATTGTGAGGGAGTCGCGCAAGCCTTTAACGGGCGGGTTGGGGCTTGAGCGGGCGAGGGAGAAGGTCGCGATTGAGAAGGATGAGTTTGCTTAGAGAGGGTGATGGGAGTTAAACAGATGGTCAGAAGTGTAGTGTGGAGGAAACTGGGGAGTACAGATATGTTGGGGTGAGATGAGGATGATTATGAATGTTATGAGATATCGTTACAAGCGGATGTGTTGTGACTAGTGCTGTGAGGTTTCCTACAAGTAAGCATTACATATACCGGATTGACATAGTTTTCTCCACGATCTGCGCACCGAGCAGAAATGCATATGAAATGGGGCTGCTGGAATAACATGAAGTAAGGGTGTAATGGCAAGCATATTTGATTCGTAGGCTGAATAGCGTGCTTTTATTTGCTTCTTCTCACCATGCATACTATCTGCCGCGAAGCAGCTACCTTCAGTCGTATTTAGTGTGTAAATTCCGCAACGCTGATTCGCGGCAAACAACGCGCTGTCATTTGTCAAGTCAAGAACTGCATTCCAATCACGTGATGTCGACATTAACAGAAGCTTGCCGACAAGTATGCTAGGTAACTTGCAATGACACTACGTTGCAACCCTGAGCAACTACTATGCTTCCGTAGGAGGATAAATACATTTCCAGAGCTATACCAATGCCATGAACCAAACACTACACGGGCTTTTGCCTGAAAACAAAATTGGGTCGTCGCTACTTCACTTCAGCGAACATTCTACGAACTGACAGCGTTTTTCCATGTCCGTAGTTAGCATCGCAACATGGTCCGGGAGATCCGGTAAGGAATGCAGATAAGGTAAATGTATTGGCGTGTCCGTCGGGCGATTCGGAGAAGCATCACCCCGATGGCAGTTTTGGTAAGTGCTGTGGTGAGAGCATAGGTAAACCGAGGCATCGTGAGCCACTACAAGTATAACGTCAGGTCGTGTAGACAGCAGGATCAGGCTTTGCAACCGTACCGTGAAACCCTCTACAGTAGTAGATAATTCCAACTCCGTAATATGGACACCCATGCTGTGTTTGATACGTTGGAGGACGATCGCAAGAAAGGCTGCAAGAGAAAATTACCGGTGGGGGTAAGTATACACAATGTAAAACTTGGGTCGACGTCTCAAAGCTTACCAGGCTAAGTATTGTAATATAGTCGTCGACGCCGCCCGATTTGAGAATGTAGAAACAGGTATAGCATCTCAGCGCTGTGAGAATGATAGAGAGAAGCGAGAAATAGGTACGTCACGATACTGAGTACGATTTGTTCAGAATTCATGACTCTGTACAGCAATGAATTCTCGGACCGAAATGCGCCTGGTGTTTGAGGCAATCGGCTTGTAAGGCCGCAAGTCCTCATTAGCTGAAAAGACATGGGCGCCACTGATGCTTGCGGATAGAGTCCAGGGTATGATGGAATTTGAACATCAAGGCTCCATATTTCAGGCACATCAGTCTTAGAACTGTCCGATTGACTCGCTTCTTGACTAGTCTAACATTTATCGGCTGAGCTGTCCAGGGCGATCCGTCCCGAAGTCCAAACTAAAGTTTGATTTGTACTAAGCGAGTCGTGCATCAAAGCCAGCCGCGGCCTCGAACGAGTATTCCCGTCCATCTACCAGAATTGGGCTTCGGGCGCGGCCACTGTATGATCCGACACTCAAGCATGGTCAGCGAAACCCAGTCAGGTTTGACCCAAGGCGGCTCCATATACGTTCGGCAGGCCTACCAGCAAGCAGTCGCCCCACCGCCCACGCAGATCTGAACTCGCAATACGCGCGGTTTTTCCCAGCAAGTTAGACATGTCGATATTGAATTGGAATACTTGCTTCCGCATGGGAAGGAGAGTTTGCCCTAGCGGCGCCGTTTCTCGTCCCGTTTCGGCCCGCACAGTCCTCTTCTGCGTCTAGACGTTCGTCCGCTTGTTCAACCTCTACTTCTCGGAACTTGGGTACGGTGCACTCGTTGGCATAGTGTCGTGGCTTACCGCAATAGCAGTTTATTAGAGCAGAGGGATTGATTCGGATACGGGGCAAATCGGAGGGGACGTAGATGACCTTTGGTGTCGGTCTGATCGTCTCGTCTCCCCGTCTTTGCTGCTGGTTGCGATCGACTTGCGGCTCGATATCAACCGCTCGCATCCAAGCCAGCTTTATTAAACACTCTCGGATCAAAGTGTTAGCGTACATGGCGCGCACGAGCCAAATTTAGGGGTGTTCTGAATCTAGATCATTGCGACCTGGCCTGAATTCCGGATAAGACTCTTACATACCTGCGGAAGCGGATGTCCGCACCATCGAATGTATCCGACTGTTATGTACTCCCTCAATTCCAAATCGTGCATGGTAGAATTTCCTACCTGAAGTTTCAACGAGTTGTTTCATAAGCGTTGAAAACTTCGATTCGGTACATTGTCAGCAGATGTCAAGATGACGAGCCTCGGGTCAGCACTGCATGTACTGATTGGGTATATTAGGTGTGTTGCTTTGTTCATTGTTGAATCCCGCCTCTTCTGTGCGAAATATTGTTTCCAAGATATGAAAGTGCACTCTTTGGCGCCCGGAGATCTCAATAGTATGTGAGCTCAAACACGGCACAGGAGCTCTTATATTTAGCATTTTATACTTGCAATTGTTCCTTTCATGACTGCATAGCGACCACTTGAATTGCTCCTGGACATGTGTGCCTCCTACTTAGCAAGTGTGGCGGCATACCAGACACTCTGGATTTTGTTAAACGCTAGGTCCGCCCACGCTTGCTCATCGACGTACTCCCTGGTATTCAGGGTCAGTGCCCAGTCCAACTCGTCCATACTATACGCAATAGCACGTGTACCAGCTAGCGTCCCATCCCGATAACTAAAGGGCTGGCGGCCTCCAACCCCGTACACGGAATGTTTTCCAATGAACTGCGACATTGTTTCAGCCGAAGCCCTGAGGCCGAACGCACCGATCGCCTCCTCTTTAATCGAGCCGTCGCCGCCCTCTGCGGCAGAGACCCGGATTTTTGAGAGTGGCAATAGCGCGGATATGCCTGTGACGGCTGTCTCTTGCACGATGGCGTCTGTCTTGTGTTTGTCGCTAGATGTAGGCCAGAGGTCCACGTCGGCGCCTTCGAGCACGTTCTTTTGGATGTACGAGAGATATGACTCGCCAGTCAGGTTTGTTATGACGTAGCTCAGGAGCATGGTGCCGTAGTTCGAGTACTCATAGCTGGACCCGGGGGCGAAATCTAGCTGCCGCGCAGCTACGTAGTCGATGACCTGGCGCAGGGTGGCTGGAGTAGCTTGGTTGAGCGACTGTGCAACAGTTGTGAATATAAAACCTAGATCTGGCGACTTGGTGCGGTCGAAGCCCGCAGTGTGGTCCAAGAGGTGCTGAACAGTGATGTCCAGTGAGCGTGGATCTGCGGGATTGTTGTATCCGAGGAGCGGGTAGACGCGAGTAGTCAAATTCAGCAAACCTGCGTCGACGAGCTTGTTTGTAGCAGCGTACGTAAAGATCTTGGAGACACTAGCAAGGAGGAACTTGTCTTCTGGCTTGACAATGGCACGGTCGCTCTCGGCCCATGTGTATGCGCGAGAGGCGACGACTTTTCCGTTGAATGAGGCGGCGACTTGAGCTTGTCGAACGCTGTTGCGTTTCATGAATTCTTGCATAACTTGGTCCATTCCCTTGCTGACTGCATTGTTGTCGGTAAAGCCGGTGACAGTGCCAGTAGTGTGCCAATCGCGACTCAGAGGGCTTGTTCGCTCTGCGAAGATGACAGCATATCTCGCTCCCGCTTCTCCACCACCAGAGATGTGAATAGGGTACATATTTTTCTTGCCTTGTGCGCTGATTTCTGAATCTAGTTGCGACGCGGTGAGATCTGTGAGGGCCGTCCATTGTCCAACGCTCGAGTCATCGAATATGGATGAAAGGACATGGTCCTCAGACACGTCAATATAGACCGGTCTCCAATATTTCTTTGAAGTCTCGGCAGCTTCCACCATTTTGTAGTCGTTCATAAAGGAATTCGTCTGATAATAAACAGTCTGTTGGTAGTTGATCGTATCTTCGTGCCCAAGAATACAGTACTGGCGCTCATTCCGAGATCCATACATGCTCACGCCTTTGATGATCATCGGTGTTCCCAGGGTGGTATTGAGATATGTGTTAGGATTATCGAGACCACAGAGCTGGGTCCATGTACCGATCGAAGACGTCTTTTGCATCACTCCCGCGAACAGGGCAGCAGAGGCGGGTCCAGTGGCGGAGACGTGGGTAGAAACATACCCATTCGCCCTCCAACGGTCCAGCCAAGCAGTGTAGGCGTTATTGTCGGCGCCAAGTATAGTCTCGTATTTGTTGCCATCCTCCCTGGTCCAGATCCCAGCATATTTTGCATCGGTGGGCGAGCCATGGATGCTCAGAGATGTCGGTCGGTATCCTTCAGCCTTCAGTTTTGCGATTCTCTTCTCCGCCTCGGTACTATTGATGTCGAAAAAGACGTCTTGTTCGATTGTCGCATTGCGCTTCGAAAGCGGTAAGTCTTGGCTGTTGGTTGGAAACGAAGCAACAACGTTCGCCAAAGAAAGGCAACTTATCACCACAGGCGAAACCAAGGCGCTTAATATATACATTGTCGAAGTATGTGATGATTCCTTAAAAGTAACGACGTCCTTCGCATTTAATAGATTCACTCGAAATTAATACGTAGGGATGTACAAGCTAGCGCAATTTTGCCTGGAAAATCTCCGCAGCACGGTCCCTCTGCAACTGGTATATGATCTATGTTTGGGTATCCTAGTGAGACACCCGATATAGCCCCGGCTGGCGATGAAGAACGGAACACGATCTGACAAAGCTGTACTGAGCAGCTACTTTCCGTAAGTTCATATTTACGTAATGTCTACTGCCCAATGCTGAACAGTGTATAGCGCAAAAGTAAGTTTTGTAAGATGGAGCATATCTTCATGGTAACTGGCAATCCAGGTAACGAGGTTCGATTGTATACTTGAAGGATCTTGTAGGGCGGGCTGCCTTGCCGTCGCCTTCTCCATAAGTCTGTATTTTCTCGTAATCCTCGTGTCAATGGTCAAGTCAAAGCTCTGTGCGCATTATCGGGGTGCTCGTATTCGTCGGGAGGTTGTTTAACAGGGCCTCATTTAGGTAAGCCGCAGAACACGATTGAACCTCGGCAACCGCACTGGCGCGCTGAGTTGCTATTTCTGCGTAATACCTTTGCTCGAGCGACACCGGTGGCATTCGTCGTTTGCAAAGGACCTCGGGAGAGTCAAAGTGCCTGTGATCTCGGAAATGACGTTGTTCATGCGAAGTGCGCCAAGGTTTGTCACAGAGCCTAATCGTCTTGGTGAGACTCCATAAACACGCGCATACGTTCTTGAAAGCTCTGAAGTTGTTATCGAAACGCCATATCTCGCTGCCTATCAGCGGGTAAATATTGAGAAGTGCTTCCAGATAATGCCCAAGTGTTGTGGCAGATAAGATCTGAATTCCGAGATGACTCGCGTTCCTCGATCTGACATCTTTATGGTCAGGGTATCAGCGCAGGCAATATATACCGTGTGGAAGACGAATGCGTCGACAAACTCATCAGCATGAAGGCACGTTGTGGATGTCAAATGTCTTCACTGGGTGAGTTTGTGTGCTACCACGAGTCAGGTGTTGAAATGTCAGCACGTTTCCACAAGAGAACGACTAATTGAGTCCAATCAGATTCTTTGTCTCTGAAATAATTGATCAAGGGGTAGACTACACTTTGATCAACCTAATCGATAGGGAAATTGGTTAAAAGAGATTCACTTAACTGAATACTGGACGGATCTAACAAGGGGGGGCCATCAGGGATGAATCAGACAATCCATACCCCTGCTGCCGAGGCTCCCCTTTATTACACGTGATGACAAGGACATGTTAAGGCTATCCGACAACAGCTTCGGAAAAACACATACAAGGCTGCATGGCTCATGTATCTTAATTTGTTCAATTTCCATCGGCGGTCTGGAGTAGACTGGGTGGTGGACCCTCAATTGATAACAGGATCGCGATGACCGAGAGATTCACCACACCAGCCTTTTGATCTGGAAACAGTACGACAAAACTCGAAGGAACGCAAAGGATAACCTGTTCTCATTACCTGTGGTCTCTTGTGGAAGACATGACCATGTGTTTCGTTCTGGATGGCGTGATGGGCAGGAGGGCTCAGAAACTGAGATATCCTTTTTCCACAATGTATACAATGCGGGAATGGCTGGTTATACTACACGGTATCCAGGAGTTTTATCGATTTCCAACCCGTTTGCAATTCAAACTTGCCGTCATTGAGCGTTATTGCCACCTAAGTCGCACATTATTTGGGCATGACAGCAAGCTTCTCATCAAGACATATCCGCGTTCCTTTTTTGCCTCACTGCATAGTTTCTTGCATTCCGCCGTCCAATGTTCATCATGGCTACTAGCAACGGCGGCCGCTCAGCTATCTCTGCGCCATCCCGCTCGAGCCCCCCCCCCTGGCTATATTCCCACACGTGTGGAAGAAGCTTTTCGGCTTGCATCGTACTACCGCGAAACAGATCCAAGAGATGCGTGCACCGGCGTCGATGACACGATCAGAGATTTGAGTCCGCGTGAGTTGAGGAGCTGTCGCAACTCAGTACGACTTGGTTCTAGAAGAGTGTACGTATAACGAAGAAATGGCGGAGGCTATGGATCAGAATGCGGACCGTATGAGTAAGATTGTAAAGAAATCGGGGAAGTTTAGGGATGTATGGAAGGAGTGCAAGGCGGAGCGGATGGAGCGCGCAGAAGATGCAGAGACGGGGAGCGTGGTAATCTACCATAAGAATCGTCGGAGTTACATACCCGGTCTTGAGCGTGGCACTGTTTGGGAATAGTGATAATTTTGACGTAAAGATCTGGTGTGTGAGCGCATGTTGACTTGATCAAGAATCATGTCGTGGTGCTGTTGACCTTATCGGCATATCTTACCTGGTTTCGCAGTGAAGACTAAGCCTATCAGAATCGATTCAGTCGTGTTCAATGCTGTGTCTTCCAGGGCTGGGGGGTTGTCGCGATCATACGACGTGTTTGATTGGCACTATTGTAGTTCATGTCGCCTTTACATGTCGCCTTTACATGTCGCCTTTCGCCTTTATTGTACATCTACGCTTGTTCAAGTCGCCTGCACCCATCAGTCGCCGCCCAGTTGGGTGCTAATGTGAGCACTTGACCTTGGGCAAACTTTGTTTCCGCACTACTTAGGTCACCCAGATCTCTCGGGTTGCTAACACCAATGTAGCGACCAGACGTGATGGGACAGAGAGGCGCAGGTCACGTGGCACCGCGTATCGCTGCCTGGCGCCTGGGCTGTGTAGTGGACTGTGCCACGAGTGGCCTTAGCGTCGTATATACAAATCTCGAATCCGCAGGCAGCAAACGGTCGCGAAAAGTTAATCTCTACAACAGAGCATACAACTTTACACCACCACAAGCATTGTATCGGCATTCGCAAACCCTCGATCTACTTCAAGATGGGCCAAGGACAATCACAGCAAGCGGAAGCACCCATGTCGGAGTGGGACTCCAGCATTAGTCCCGAAGAGCGTGCGCAGGCACAAGCCGATGTGGGTATCGGTTTAATCTCTTTTTGTACCTTTCTGACGAGATGGAAGCTGCGCGCAAAGCAGCAAGCAGCCCTAGACAAGCGCATCGCATCCAAGAATAAGAAAGCTTCGACGACAGCAGGTACCGTTGGGCAGATAGCGAAGGAGCCGAAGATGTCAAAACATGCGCTCGAAAAGGGCGAGGCGCCGGTAACCATAGATTTGGTATTCCATGTCGAGTCGGAGCTGGAGTCAAGGTCGGAACGAGAGCTCACACCAGAAGAGCAGGCACAAGCCCAGATGGACGTAAGATGGAATTGGAGAAAATCTTATGCGCTCTGTGCTGACAAACGACAGCTACGTGCAAAGCAACAGGCAGCGCTGGACAAGCGTTTTGCTGCTCAGCAAAAGAAGGGCACGGCAACAGGGATGATTAACGCGCAGGCCAAGAAGAAGCCGACGGTGCTTGAGCAGGCAAGCAAGGAGAATGTTGGTTATAGGAATATGGATGCGCAGGTGGAGTTCAGATCATGGAACTGATGAAGGCATGCTGGGTGGACGAAGATAAGACAGACTTCAGCGTTTATAGCAACCCCATAATACATACCTTGCGACGCAATAATCTGATGCGAGACTTCGCGCTGTTGTGTCAACGGCCTTACGTAGGCCACAAAAAGTGGTGTTTGAGATCTCGAATGCGCAGCTTTTGAGATCGGAGAAGGTTCAGGGCTAATGCCTTTGTGGTTAGGCACTCGTATTACATCAGCGCTTCAGCTTCCAAGGCTGATCTGGACCATCTCATTTCTCCGTGTACCAAGCGTTTCACCGTGCACGCATCGCATCAGTCAAATGTCTGAAGCACGCGTCGCGAAGCGCAAAACGCATACAAAGTCGCGAAAGGGATGCTTCCAGTGCAAGCAACGTCATACCAAGGTATGTAGGCCGTGCCGATCCCCTTCCCGCGGCAACAGCCAATCACAAAAATGGGCATGAACTGCGTTGGCTTCAAAATGTCGCCAGAAGTCGTGGAACAATTGCCTTCGTCTTGTTTGCGAACACCGAAACTCGCGTCTTCTTTGGGGGCGATTGATTGGATGTGGTGGCTAACCTATGTAGTGCAATGAGGCACGCCCACGCTGCGCAAACTGTGTCCGTCTGGACATCAGCTGCACATGGCCAGAGGTCAATAGCGGACACTCGGCGTCTCCACAGACAAGCCCGGCCGCATATGTATCGCCAAATGAGGAGAAGACCGGTCAAGTGGCATCGAACAACTTCGACCTCTCAATTCCTGACATGCGACTCTTGCATCACTGGACTTCTAAAGGATACGTAGCTCTGCATCCTAATCTTGCCAAAAGAAGCGACGTCTGGCAATGCGCTATGGTCGAACTCGGTTTTGAGCACCCCTTTCTTCTTCATGGAATCCTTGCTCTTTCAGCGATACACAAAGCATCATTCTACATGCCTGGCGATAGGCAAGAGCTTCTCTCACAGGCCGATGCCCACATCAGTCGAGCTCTGGACGTCATGCGAACACATCTTCAGACACCGAGTGAGGAAACCGCCATCCCGATGTTCGTCTTGTCCTCGGTGCTCCTTACCTACAATTTCGCCTCCGTGCAGGAAAGACCAGATGATCCTATCGGCTCAGTTCACCACTGCTTCATGCTGCTCAACGGTATCAAAGTCGTCATTGGCACACACTGGGACAGATTGAAGGACAACCCTTCGCTTGCACATTTTGTCGCAATGTCCGCACCGGCAACTCTCAGCATCCTAGACAAACTCGCAGGAGATGAGCAACGGCCAGAGATACTGCACCTCCTGGAACTTACCGAGCTTGTTCTGGATGCCCAGGACAAACAAGCGTGCACAGAAGCTATCAAAGAGCTACATTACGTTGCCGTCCGCTGCAGGCACATCAACACAGATCGTGACGACGAGTATCCTTTCCTTTGGCTGTGGGCGGCTAGGACATCCAATCACTTCTTTGGTCTCCTTGCGGCGCACAATCCTATCGCTTGTATCATTGTGGTGCATTTTGGGGCACTTTTGGCCCAGGCCCGCCAGGTTTGGTGGGTTGCGAAGTGGCCACGATGGTTGCTGACTGCAACTGAACAGCTCCTGGCAGCAACTCCAGATCTGCTAACATGGCTGGACTGGCCGAGACATGTTATCAATCCTCTGTTGATGACTGCTGCAGCAACACCCCACTCTTCTTGATGTCCAGAAATAATCCCGACCAGCTTGCGTAATCCATTGGCCGAGGAAATTCGACAGGAGTTGGAAATGTGCCAAAGTTTACGCCGTATATCCGTCACCAAACTGACCTTTGGACATGTCCAGATCTCTGCTTCCGTGGAAATGCATGCTCTGGCAGAACCGCACAATACATCTCTCAGCGACCTGTGTCTTACTCAGCACACTACTCAATCAGCAGACACACTCATTCGCACTATGCACAGCCCGCCCGATGGACTCGACTTGGCCCTATGCTTCAAACGATACAGCCAGGACGAGCTGACGAATGCCTGCTAAGTTTGAATTGTGTGCTCACCAAAACGCAGCAAGCTGGGTGCCTTATCCTCAGATCTATGAGTAGCTAGCGTTAGTCTTGGTGGCCTGTTCCCTCTATGACGCACTTGCATGAACCCCAAATGCGTGGGTGTGCCGTGCGCGGTATCGGCCGGTCTGGGTTGAGAATTCGAATGAGCAAATAGAACCAAGCAAAGAGAAGGAGCGGCGTGTATAAGAAGGCGGAGCAGGTCGAATATGTAGTGGAGCAAGTGGGATCTGTGTCAGGATCTGTACCGTATACACCGTATGGAGATTCCCGTCGCAAGTGTCCGCGGCTGAATTCCATGCGCCAATCAGCGTCTGGTGTGGCTGGAATCCTTCGACTGAATCCAGACTAGCGCGCTCACCGTATAGACCGTATTTACCACATAAAGTGGGCCTCTTCTAACATCAGTATCATCGAAGAATATAAGAGAGGTGCTTCTCGCGATGGGAATCAGAATTGCACATCAGTACAAATTCCGCAGTTACTTCTAGTCTATCATCGAGGTTCTGAGACCATCTCCTCAAAAGCGCTCCTAACTACCCCTCAACATGTCCAACGAAGACTATCGTCCCGCTCTTGACGACCCTAACGCCTGGGTTCCATACCGCTATCATCCTTCCAATATCGCTGCAATCATCTTGGTGGTGGCATTTACCCTCACGACCTTTTTACACATCTTCCAACTCTGTAGGCGGAAGACGTGGTACTTTATACCACTCGTCATCGGTGGTTTGTGTAAGCCACACTACTATTCTCACCGTCTCTGGCAAACAAATTGACATCCCGTAGTTGAGGCAACAGGCTACATAGGCCGCATCCTCTCACACAACGACCTGTGGGCCCTCGGACCCTTCATCATGCAATCGCTTCTCATCCTCATCGCGCCCGCCCTCTTCGCTGCTTCGATATACATCATACTTGGCCGCATCATCCTCCTCGTCGACGGCGAGCGCTACTCTCTCGTCCGACAAAAGTGGCTCACGAAAATGTTCGTAGCGGGCGATGTATTCAGCTTCTTGCTCCAGGGCGCAGGCAAGTACCCTCAACCCTGTTTACAATACAAGCATATCTAACATTTTCCCCATGCGGCGGTATCCAAGCCGGCGGCACCTTGACAGCTCTCCACACGGGCGAGAAACTCATCATCGCCGGGCTCTTCACGCAACTCTTCTTCTTCGCCTTCTTCATCGTCATCGCCGGCATGTTCCACTACCGCCTTGTCAACGACAAGCCCGTGCAAAAGCAAATCGGCCATCAAAGACTCCCTTCCACGCAATCCACATCATACGTTAATCTTGCTGAGTTACCGTGGAAGCGCCACTTGTACAACCTGTACGCTACCAGCGGCCTCATCATGATCAGGAGTGTCTTCAGGGTTATCGAGTACTTGCAGGGTAATGCTGGATATTTGCTCAGCCATGAGATATTCTTGTACATTTTTGATGCGGTTCTTATGCTTGCGGTCATGTTGCTGTTTAATTGGGTGCATCCGAGCGAGGTCACAGAGGCTTATCATAAGAGGAGGACTACTGGTGAGTCGGCGGAACTGCAGCATGTGAGGGATGGGTATATGGGTCGAGGAACAAGTGTTGGCAAGGGTGAACGTGGTGCGCAGGATGCGTATGTTTAGGATGGGTATTGTATTGTGATTCACCCTTGCAAGGAGTTGCGCGCTCGTCGATCTTGTCTTCTAGAAGATTGAAGTTACTTTACTGCGATACGTTGCTTCAAAAACAGACTACACCTTTACCTCCTCATAGCGCCTCCGTCTCCACATCACCAGTAAGATTCGTCAAAGCCCCTTCCACACTCCGGCCAAAAGTGTAAAACTGGAGCTTCTCAAGCTACAAAAAAAATGATCTACCCGTGAATCGAACACGGGTCTCCATAACTTGTACTTGGCTCCCCATACCTTTCGCATGGCGATCTAAGTACATCGTACATATGGTGCGCTACCACTGCGCCAGGAGATCTTAGTGAGTTGATAGAAGATATGGGGATAGTTCAGTGTTATGTACTGTGTTTTATGAGCACAAAGTAGCTTGACTAGTGTGTGACTGCCTACCCTTTTCGAGTTATGCCAGTTCATAAACGTGATGACATAATGGTTTCGATTTTCTCAGCTGCAGAATAGCGACCGTGAGACCTGCAAAGGTGATCATGAGTCCAGCAATTCCAAGGACGAGAGTGTAGGTCATGTCTGGCATTGTTCTGAGGAATCGTGTAACGTGTGTGGCACGATGAGACCCCGTGGGTAGTTTTGGAGAGTGGAAGGGCCAGATTACGACATTCAGTAATCGAAGAGAAGGAGCATTAAGTAGTCAGATGGTTCTTTGCGTAGTTGGGAGACATAAGGCTACTGATTGTATCATGCTTGAGAGAGTCAGCGGTTTGTTGCACGAAAGTGTCACAACTGACTGTATCGTTACAATCAGCAATGGTAGTCATAAATCATGATTGTGCTCAGCATTACTCACAACATACGTGTCTATTCTCCCAGACTGTAATAACGATGTTGGCATGTATGAAATCCCCATTTGACTTATAACCATAGGTAGTCATACTTGTATGGATTAAAGTCTCTGTGAAGACGTCGAACGTTGCACAAAAACGACTTGGCTCTCAATACCACATGGCTGGAATTCCTCAGAAGGCTTCTCAACTTTGACGGAACAACATCTTGAAGTGTGGTGATGACAGTAAGACCCAAGAACACACTCGGAGATACTTTCATACATGCATCGCGACACAGCCCGCCATCGCATCTCATTATCCCCGTATGGCATGACTCTCTTCAGCATAATCAGAATCTCTTTATCCATCTCCAATCACCACCCAAACAACATACCCGCTCGACCTCCCCGTCCTTTGAGAAACGTCTACAATGCGTGTACAGTTTCATCCCCTTGGCGAGATTGATACACACTCATGTGATTGAGGCGCAGTTCAGCATCACAGACAAGCCTATGAGGATGTTGAGGGAGACGAGGAGGGTGGGGGTGGGAGGGGACGTGTTTGGGTCGTTGGCGGGCATTGTTGGAGGACGGGGAGGGTTGGTGTGAAATAGAGGGGGTAGAAGGTTTGATGTGTGGGATAGAGGGAAGAGGAAGGAGGATTGGTGCTCATGTAACTAGGGCGCGCAATAGAAAGGCGGGGGAGGTAAGGTAAGGGGCAGCGTTTTCCGTATCGTAGATTGAGTAAGTTAGTGTATTACGCGCGTGTCTTCCTCTACAAGCACGGTATGAAATTCAAAGGGGGGATGCTGAAGTAGATGAATGTTGTTAAAGCGATGTGTAAGACCCGTGAAATCAAAGCTTGGAAAAGGCTGAAGAGCAACCAACCGTAGTAGTACTGTGAGGTGTTGAACATACGAAGCGACTGTGTAGCATAAAGATTCCATGCGGTTTACCTGTAAGTTAGTTTTATTCGAGGAAAACTCCTTGGGTATGTCGCACTCTCAGCGACAACAAGGTTCCAATTACTATCATTGTTATGTTAGCTCAAAACTCCATACACCATACTAAGCCTGTCCACATACCTCTCTCCCCAGCCTTATGCTAGCTCATAAACATCTCGTATCCGCCTCGACCTCTTCAACTGCACATACGCAAGCGACAACGTGCCCAACGCAATGACAACCCCAATAATGCTCAAGACGAGGGTATAGCTCATTTCTCTCGCGTCGTTTGCCATGCTAGGCAAGTATACTGGAGTACAGTGATGGATATCGCGGATATCGCGTGGAGAGTGTTGAAGTTTGCGTCCAGGTCGTAATCCGGAAAGTGCGGTCACCGTGACCTGTTTCCAGCTAACCCTCAGAACTGAAGCTTTGTAGATACGTGCAGCTACCTGGATGCAGGTACTTCGATAGAGGTGATGGGTCGCAAGGGTGACTTGATAGGTAACAAAGCGAAGCGTGATTATCTTAGTTGTCGTGGGATTTGTGTGGCCACCGTGACCTGCCTTCAGCCAGCTTTGATGTTCCAAGGGTCGTCCAGAAAGAAATATAGGTACTGAGAGAGTATGTCTCGATATGGTATCGTCAAGATCGATTTCGATTTCGAACTCGTCGAGCAAAGTACGTATGTCTGTATAAATGCAAGGACGTAGGATTCAATATATCACAGAAATAACTTACCAGCAAAGCAAAGACGAAACGATAAAAACGTGCGTGCAGAAAAATACCATTTCCGTGAGATACGCCTCCCAATAATATACTAACCATTCGCGCGCTTGGCGCACGAACATGCAGGCCTTGCTATCTCATGCAGACCTTTGCCATCCCATGCAGACCTTTGCCATGCAGACCTTTTCCATGCAGACCTTTGCCATCCCTGGCAGCTGTGTGCGTCTCTGACATCGCCGCCTATTGGACAAATAGTCCCGCTACTGGAAACTTGTGACACCTGTGTAATCTTCTGGGAATGTGGGCTTCGGCCCGCCACAAGCATAAGCGAACAACGTTTCCGAGGACGCCGACTAGCTGATCTGACCTCACCAGTGCAGAGCCAAGTCGGTCGTACAGAGACGGTCCGGCCATAGAGAGATAATCCAATCCTACCTAGCACCGCATAAGCTGGCGAGAAGCAAGTTTGGTATCATTCCAAAGAGTCGAAAACTCTTCTTCTTCTATGCAAGTCAAGTTCTTTTGCAAGTGCAGCGAGGTATAATATCGTACACTGTGAGCTATGCACGTCGTGCTGATTATGCGCAAGAGAAAAAGGAAAGCTGGTAAAGCTTGGACAGATCAACTTTTCTCGAGTTTATCCGAAGCCGAGTTCTCACATCAACGTGCAAATATCGAAGACTCGATTATCATTAAATTCTGGCTAGCATGGTATCTGCCTTGTTCGTTCAGCCTTGCTCTTCCCAGCTACAGCCGCGTACCCTTGTGGACTCGATATAGCTCCTGAGGTTCAGACAAGTCCTTGGCCAAATATTACATAGAAAAAGATTGAGCTGCGAGGCTTTTGGGCCAACTGCCTTCCGGGCTAGGCTACGAGAAACATGTGGTTCGTCAAAATGGTGGGACTGCGATCACCTCCTGTGCAATTGCTCGGAGAGATATTCGAGGAATCTGGAATCGATTAGCTGAGTTCAGAATGTATTCCGTCGTGGGATCATACCTTTGGAGATATTATGTCTTGGTTGACCAAGTTCTTTGCCAAGATCTTGACGACCTCCATCTGCTCTTCGGCGCTGAGTCCCGTGACGGCAGCCTCGATGACGCCGCCGACGGTGGTATGGTAGACGGCGATGAAGCTTGAATAATAGAAGAAGGCAATGGAGCCCATGATGAATTGACAGTCCATGCGGTCAGTCATGCCGCCGTGCCCGGGAATCGAGTCGCCAAAGTCCTTGATCTTGAATGTTCGCTTCAGGCCGGAGGCGAAGAAGCCGCCAAAGGGTGCGACAAGCGAGGCGAAGGTGGCGAGGATGAAGATGTGGAACTGAACTGGCATGATGTTGAATGTGCGCGGGATGGGTAGACCAGCCGGGACGAAAGGCAGAGCATAGTTGCGCGCAATGAAGACTGGATTGGGTTTGCATTCGAGGCCAGTCCAGATGTTTGCGCCGAGGTCCTATGATTGTTAGTGGAGGATGTTGGAGAAGATGTGCGAACGTACGTTGACTGGGCAGATGAAGTACTTGTACTGGGCAAGGAAGTGCGTCAGGCCGATACCCCAGATAATGGTGAAGAACCATGCGCCGAGGAATCCCTCCCATGTCTTCTTGGGCGAGATCTGGATGAGGGGCGTCCGTCCGAAGGTGATACCGCAAAGGTAGGCCCAGATGTCGTTTGTGATGACCATGGAGACGGGCAGGATGAGCCAGATGAGGCCCTCGAAGATGTTATTGATGACAAAATGGGCCTGCCCGACAATGAGGAACAGGGCCATGTGGGTCCATGCGAATTGGGTGAATTGGAACTTGTAGTGGCCCTTCTGCAGAGAGAAGACGAAGAAGACGAAGCCTGATACGGTTAGTGCTGCAGTCAGCTCGGATGGCATGAAGACATACCAATAATGTACAGCATGAAGGAGATGAAGCGGTGGTGGGTCGCGAGCGGGAGCAGGATGCGGTCAACCAACAGGATGTGCTTGAAGTAGTAGATGATGCTCTCGCCGTACAGAAAGTACATGGCGGTGCCGAGGAAGTACCAGTTCAGCGACTTGGTGAAGCGCAGGCTGCGGGCCTTGCTGGGCACATTTGCGATTGCGATGACCTCCTTGAAGGAGATGACCTGGACGGCGGTGACGATGATGATGAGGTAGATGTGGCCGGCGCCGAGGATCCAGAAGAAGCCCATGATCATGACGACGGTCCATATTGTGCGCGTTATGAAGTTTGCCTTTTTCTTCTCGTACTCGGACTCTGGTGGTTGTTCTGGTGCCTGCAATTGTCAGCAAGCGCATGGGACGGGAAGAGGGGGGCCAGCTACTGGGGGGAGCAGCAGCGCCGTTCTTGGTGGGGACTCATGGGCTGGGAGTCGTTCTCGCTGATTTCCGACATGCTCTGCGAAGGCCGTCGCACCCAGTCCATTGCTAGCGCTGCGGGCGTTGTGCTGGAACTTTACGTCTTTGCGTGGGCGCGTCATGCTGGCGACGAGCGGAGGCGCCGGGTGAGGTGGACGAGACGGGGAGCAGCCAGGGTGAGCGACAACGGGGCGTGCAGCGGTTCAGCGCGTGTGAAGTGGGAAACGGCAGCGAGGGGTATATTTCCACGTCTGCGAGAAACGTGGTGGGTGTAGTGAAAAGCGACGGACCAGCTTCGGGGGACGGGGGACGGGGGACGTCATTGCGCCTGCAAAGCAAGCCTAGGGCAGCGTAAGCGAACTAGGGACCGCCTGCATGTGAAGTCAGCCTCGCCCAAACAATCCCACGACGCGCCCCACATTGATCTCGACCGCGACGCGACAGCCTCAATCCCCAATCTGGGACCATTGGGACATGCGCAAAGAGGAAGGGCGGTGCCAAATGGAGCAGGCGCAATGGACGACGACGACGACTTTGGCTTTTCCGACTCGGACCTCGACGACCTGCCCGCCAACACGCTGCAGCACCTCGAGGCCAACGCCGTGCGCGCGACACAGCACCAGCAACAGGCCGGCCCAGAGTCCGACTATGGCCTGGACGAGGGCGATGAGGTAGTCAACCTCGACGACGACAATGCGGCAGCACACCATGCGTACAGCGCAGCCGCCCCGCAGTACACGCAGCCACAGACAGACTACGCCTACGACGACAGCAATGGGCAGCAGCAGCAGCTCTACGCAGACCAGATGGAAGTCGAGGAGCAGCCCTACCGCTCGCAGGCCGACCCCGGTCAGCTGCTCTCGCGCATCAAGAAGGTGGGCTAGACACGCCACACGCCATGACGCAGGGCTCTGCTGATGTTCGCAGTTAGAGCAAGAGAAGGCGCGCGAGAGGAAGCAGGCCGACGACCTCAAGGGCAAGCTGCAGACCAAGTCGGGGGAGGCAGACACGCTCAGGCGCCGCCACGACGCCGAAAGCCGCAGCTATGAGCGCAAAATCGCCGACCAGCAGCAGCTGCACAGCTCCGAGCTGGCCAAGATGAGGGCAGAGATCGAGAGACTGCGGCGCGAGAAGGAGCAGGCCCAGACGGACAACATGTTCAACCAGCACGACAGCATGGCCCAGCGCACGAGGAGGTCCATGCCGTCGAGACCAAAGGGCAAGGCCACCGCAGCCACGAGCCCGGCGGGGACACCGAAGCGCGCGCAGAAGACCAAGGGGCCGCTGGGCGACGGATTCGACGACGACGATGTTGTCATGGCCTCGCCCTCCAAGCTTCGCGATAGGCTCAAGGCTGTGACGCCCAAGCAGGCCAGCAAGCGGAAGCGGACCGTGACTGACCAGAGCCCCATACCACTGCCAGCCCTGCAGCTGAGCGCACCACGCACTCAGCCAAGGGAGAAGGAGATCGATTCTGCTCCCGAGCAAGTCATCGACACTGCGCTCTTGCAGCACTTTCGCGAGGACGACCGCCGCTTCACGCTCCTGCACCGTCTGCTGGCCCATCCTTCCTCAAACGGCGAAGACCGCATACTTGAAGCACTAACACAGCATGCATTCCCCACGCAGCCCTCGAAGAAACTGTCCTCCATCGTGTATGATGCATTAGCTGCCGCCACTGCGTCCGACGTCCACGAGTTGGCCTTGCGCATCTGCAACATTGTTCTTGACCTCTGGAAGCGGTGTCTTGATGAGAGATACTACGACCCCGTCTACCTCATGCTCGATGCGATTCACTTCGTCCTCGCCTGCGAACCAATACAGACCGCCGTGCAGGTCACTGAAAAAGCAGTGCCTCTCATCATTGCCTCTGTCGACTTGGTATCACTGCCAGTCTCAAACGCGGCTAAGCTCGGCGGTAAGGCCGTCGCAAGCCTGTTCACGCCCACCCAGCGAGACATTGCATCCAAGATTGACGTTCTCGACTGTCTGGAGCTGCTCTACCTCATTGCAACCAGCTCTGTGTCTTCGACCGAGTCAGCAGCAATCAGTCGACTGTGGCAAGGCATACCCTCTGGCTTCTGTCTCATGCTGCTGAACAAGGAATACCCACAACCCCAGATCACGCTAATGCTACGGATTCTGAGCACGTCAGCTCTGTCTACCTCAGTTGGTCCCATCGTAGCGGAGGACGAAAGCCAATCCAACGTGGAAGATGCCATCATCGCTCGACTCACCAATCTCTTTACCGAGATACCCAAGCAGATACCAGACCCATCCGCAAAATCGCCGCCAGCCGCAGTCACTGAAGCGGAAGTATGGGAGATGCGCCTCCTGGTGCTGATGGTCCTGACACAGTTCTCCATCTCCAAACACGGCTGCATACGACTTGCACAGAACCCACTTTGCATTGGTCGGTTGATCAAGTACCTTGATTACTGCATCAACACGCTATATCGACAACCACTGTCACCCACCCAAGACCAGAAGATTGAGTCAATCAACGCGACGATGAAGCTCATCTACCACATCGCCACCAGCAATCCCGGCCTGGATATCAAAAGTAAACTCGTCAACACGCTAGGTGGACAGCACTCCTATCTCGTTGCCCTCTCGCGCCTCACATTCAGCGAGGGTCTGATGCTCGAAGCCGGTATTGAGGACGCAGTGGTTGACATGGCGCATTCCATCCTCGACGAAGGCTTGAGCCTCGAAGAGGGCGACGCATTTGGCATGGTATTCAGCAGTGGTAGTAGCGTGTAAGATACCCGTCTTAGTTTAGTCAAAGTTTTTGCAACCACGCGTACCGGCTTTCGGCGAGTCTTTGCATATCCTATATCCCACATAATTAGGCGTTCCCTTCACCATCATCGATCCGAACACAGCAGCATCTTCAGATTGTGACTAGAAATATCCTTTATCATCCCAGGGACTCCTCCTCCCCGCCCACTCTTCAATCGTCGTCAATCGCACCCCCAGTTCCTCCACCACTTCACTCATATCCACCCTAAACGGCTCGTCCTCCGCCTCGTTGTAATACGTATACGCCTTGAACATCTGAGCGACTATCTTTTCCCCCTCCAATCCCCTCCCCTTCATACTCTCACTAATCCTCTGGCAAAAATCCGCCACGCTCTGATTCTCACACGCCAACTCGCGTCCCCACGCCCGCGACAACTTCGCCGTGAGTTCCGACAACACAACCGTCTCCGGCCCGCCGACTCTAATATCCCTCCCCGCCATCTCAGGCCGCCGCGCAGCCGCCAGCATAATCTGCGCCACGTCGTGATGACACACCCAACTCACGCGCAAATCAGGCTTGTGGCAGTACACCACCCGCCCCTCCTCGCGAATCGGCCGCACCGCCCACCCCTCGAGCAAATTGTCCAAGATACACAACCGGCTCGACAGAGAATATCACCGGGCACGCCTGAGTCGCGCGCCAGAGATTGGCGCGGATAGCGCGCGCGATCGTCTTGTGCGGTTATGCCCTGCCTGTAGCGTGAGAGGGATGGGCATCGACGCATTAAACACCATCAACCGCACACCTGCTTTCTGCGCTGCTACAGCGACGTTCCGCGCCCCGGCGATGATCGCGGCAGAGGGGTTGAAGCTGGTGCTCGGCAGGTTCACGAAGAGTGTGTCTACACTTTTGAATGCGTGGGCGAGGGCGGGCAGGGAGGAAAAGTCCGCGGCGACGTGTTGGATGCGGTGCGAGAGGGAAGGTTGGAGGGCCGGGGGCGTGCGGGATATCGCGGTTACCGTGTGCGCGTTGTGCGCGAGGTGGTGCAGTTGGTGCAGGCCTTGGATGCCGGATGCGCCGAGGACGGCGACGTGCATTTTTTTTATTTTATTTTATTTTGGTGGTTTGGGGAGGAAGGAGGGAGGGAGGATTGGGAGAAGTGGAATCGAAATAAGGGTTGGCTTGTAGAGTGCTTGCTTTCTCTCTCTTTTTTTCCCCTGACTGTTTTGTGCGTTTGTTGTGGTGTTCTTGCTGTTGGCGTTTGTTCAATTCTTGGGTTGAGGAATTGGTTGGTGGGTGAGGATGGAGTGGATGGAGGATTTGCGGTGGCTGTTGTGGTTGGGAGTCGTTCTTAAAGATACTTTTGTTATCGTGAGGTGGTGGTGTAGTTGCGGATACGTTTTTCCGGGTTTTCTTTTGGTTTACTCCGCATTCTGGCATATGTCTATGTGGTACGAGTTATGATGCACCATTACCAAACAACGGTAAAGTGGCATATCAAAGACGTTGGCCGGGCTTAGTTGGTGCTCTGGTGTGCAATATGTTCTGTAGAAGCCAGAGATCTGACCTGACCACCAACCTGGCAGAAGACCTTGCTACGAGATGCAGGAAAATATGTCCTACCGAAAGTTCAAATCATTCTCGTGCTCTTTGCAGTTGCAAAATTAGTAATCGGACACGATATGTGTTGATCTTGGAGTACGTGGTCCATGTGCGGAATGCAAGCGGATGACGCAATGCACTGATCTGTGAGAATTGGGCTGCGATTCCGGGAGCTCAGATTCTCGACGCAAATGTGATACGAGTACGGAAAGAGTAAAGCCGGATGATCTGATAATGCGTGGTGGTTGACCGAGCGTATCTCGCGCGTTGAGCTATGTCAGACGGGCCGGGCTTGGACACCGAGCCATGGACTTGTAAGTAACCAGCCTCAAGATTTGACTCAAGGACGCGCATAGTCACAGTAAATGCGGGCAGACCTGAGTACATGAGAGCATAGAATAAGACCCGTCTTCCTTGAATAAGAGCTTCTTGGCGAAATTTTCCGGAATGCAACAAGACGCATCTAGCACCAAAAGACGCGGCAGGAAAAGTAAAGAAAACATGGAAATTAGACCATTGAGATCTCACCCACATCATTTGGAAGCAACCATCGGCGCCGAGAAGTCCGTCTTACAATACAACGAGTAAGCCGCACAAAGCTGGACGGGAACGGAAGGGTGAGACCCGTCCGTCCACCCAAAGGCTACCGCACAGTAAGAATCGATCTCGGCGGTACTCAGGCATGGTTAAATACATTTTCACACACGGATGCCTCGCCTCACTATTCTCGCCCTGGGATAAGCTTACTTTGTATCTGAAGCTGGGCCAAGCTTTTGTCAGAAGCTTATATCCCACACATATGCGGTTTTGAAAAGCGGTGCTGTGGCCATCAAGTCAGATCAGAGCTTTGTGGCATTGTAGTTTCAGGCTGTTGACGTGAGTTGTCGCCCATCAACTGCACACAGGGTTGAGTCTGCTCGCAGTCAGGATCGTTTCGATCCTACGGCGAGTGCTCGGTCGCATGGTTCGTGGCTTCATCTTCGCCAGGCATATTAGCGTGGGGTCGCGAGGTGCTAGTCAATACGTGGCCGTCGTATAACGGGAGCGCACGGCACCATAGGTGGAAAGCGAATTTCTGCGATTTCAGCACGTAATCTGAGCCTTGTAAAGATGTCTCATTTCTGATCGGTGCAATGTTGGATGTATGCGACCGAGCTCCCGTGTTGTGTGTGTTTGAGGGAAAGACTGCCTCCAACAATGACGATCATTGCGATGCAATGTCTAGCGTCCGAAGAAGCTCCTAGGCTTGACCATGTCTCCACCTCCGTGTTCTAGCAGGCTTCTAACCCGCAGAGTCAAATATCCGAAGGAAGTCGCTACGGCCCAATGACAGTCAGCCTTCCTACATGTGAGGGGAAATCCTCCCTGGTTGCAGACTAGGGTGGTTGACGCAGGGGAAAAGAGGTGAAGGGTGGGCTGCTCGGGGTCCACGATGCTGGAGATCGACCAACACCACGATCAACGAGCCGATCTCAAGAGTCAAGCAAAGCAGCGCACATCATCCACGGCATTGGGAGTGCGATCGACACTCGAAAATTCTCTCCAACACTCCAGCTTTCGCGCATGTAGAAACTGTTCTCGTACGCAAAACCTCCGCCCAAACTCTATTTCTGAGCCGGCAGCGGCTAAGTTGTTCGGTGCCGCTGCATAGGCGACCTAATACGCTCCCCAGTACCGTACGCGATCGTAACTGATGCTTCCATCAACTTAGCGATGTCTCACCCCAGGAGCATGGAAGCAACACACCGGAATGCGGCCGGCTCGGCAACCACGAGGAGGCTTAGACCACCCTCCATTATCAGTATGGGTATTTGAGTGGAGTACTTGTCCGCTCGATGTCCGCCGGTTCTGCAAGGTGAGATCTAAGGCGAGCCACGGTTACTCTTCCATGCTCGGTGTGATTCTGAAGCTATGGGGTTGATACACCAACCTTTGTGGCAACGACAGGCTGCTATTGAAGCAGAGGTCAGTCAACTTACTATCTCCATATGACGAGCAGTATACTGACGAGTAGCTCAGCTCGATCCAGCCTTTCTCGCCGAGTCGCGCCAGGCTCAGATACTTGTGGGCAATATCGTCGCACAAGTCATTGGGTCTCTCTTCTTCTTTCTACGAGCATATTCTCGCCTAGTCGTCACCAAGACTTGGAGAACAGAGGACTACATCCTGCTAGCAGCATGGGTTAGTGCACCCTCGCTCTGACCTCACTTGTCGTCACTCATGCCATGACAGCTCTGCACGACGGGTTGGACCTGTTGTCAATACGGCCAGATCAGACATGGCGCGGGACGTCACTTCGCCGCCCTCGAACCCAATGACCCCGTCATGTCCCAGAAATACGCCTACGCTGCTCAAATCCTCCTCTTCCCTGCCCTGGCACTACCCAAGCTCAGCATATGCTGCACCTATCTGCGCATCTTCTACACAGCAAAGTGGTCCCGACACATGATCCAAGCCCTCATGGTCCTCCTCGTCCTCCTCATCATCCCCATGGACATCGAAGTGATATTGCAATGCCGCCCCATCCACGTCTACTGGTCCGAAGGCCGCCCACCGTCCAAATGCCTCGACGACATCGCCGGCTTCTTCGTCTCGGGAACACTCAACATCGTCGTCGACGCCGCGCTCATGGCCATTGTCCTGCCTCGCGTCATGGGTCTCAAACTGCACCGGCGGCAGAGATACGCCCTGATGGGCGTCGTGCTACTCGGCACGCTCGCCATCGTCGCAGGCATAATCCGCATGGTGCGCGTGGGCCAGATCTTCGAACGCGTAGGCGGCTTCGACCCTTCTTGGGACGCATACGACATTTCGATTTGGACGAATACTGAGATCTGGGTTGCAATGATCTGTGCGGCCGCACCGGGCATTAAACCCGTTCTCGTCAAGATACTGCCCAAGCTACTGGGCACAACGCTGCGCAGTCGTACGCGGACGAAGCCTTCGGGCGGTGCGACGGGGCCGTCGATCGAGATGGGGTCGAAGTGGAAGCGTAATACACGGGCGAGTAGCCATGTGCATGCGCAGACAAGCGAGACGGCCCTGGCGAGTGTGCAGGGCCCATATACAGAGTGTGGGAGGGGCGTTGATGACGATAGCATTAGCGAGGATAGGAGTGAGCGGTTTGGTCGACGCGCCAGTGATGAGGAAGGCATCATCTACAAGAAGAGTGAGATATCGGTACAAGTTGCACCACGATAGTACATTAATTATAGCTACGAATTGAACGACCTCAGAATTTGATCATGTGTTATTGCGACTTGCATGTGTTGTTCCCCTTTCACCTCGATCCCGCTCTGTTTGATGATTGTCGCGTAAATACCACGACTAACTTTTCGTTTCCTAACAACAGGATAGAGTTTTTTATAGTATAGTCTGTATATCAGTCAATTCAAGTCTCTGTCATAGGAATTCCCCGACCCAATCAATGGTAAGAATCTGAGGTTCTCCTCGGGCTCCGGCCGAATAGTCGCCCGAATTTCTATATTTTTGCAAAAGGTTACTCCGTGAAGCACCGGTTCGAGCCTCTGTTATTCTGGACGATTTTTATCTTTTTGCTCATCTGCGTGCAATTGTAAGAGGGACATGACGCACAGCTTGTGTGTCATAACAATGACAAGAGAAATTGCTGTACATGTGATCAGCCTATGCCTTGATCCAGTGAAAGAAACGAGGTAATGATATCATTTCAGCTCGAAGCGTTGCAAACTACACAAAAATTCAATCTCATTCTACACTCTTCGAACCAATATCTCAACTCCACTGCAAATCACCACTTGCAAACGCATCACACAATTCTCAAGGCTTCTGACACTGCGAATAATACTCATCAACCTTGACACACACCAGCCCCTCCACACACTTCGTCGGCCCCGTATACGTCTGTCCACCACACTGATCATACAACTGTACCACGGTCGGCACCGGCCCCGACGGCTTCGTACTCGTGCCCTGCCTCGAGCTTGTCTGCGGATTTGGCCGACCTGTCCACGTGCGGCGCGAGCGTGTCGATGTCGACGTGGGTTTGGCTGGCGGTGGCACATCACTGGTCAGAGGTTGGCATTGCGAGTACCCTGGCATTGTCAGTTGATGTGATTATATGAGGGGGAAGGAGGTGGGTACATTGATCTATTTTCACGCACTGAGAGTTTTGGCAGCGGGTTGGACCAGTCCAGGATTGGCCGCCGCATTGGTCCCAGGGCTGGGCGATGGTGGGTTGCGCGGAGGGTGTGGTGGTGGTTGTTGGGGTGGTGCGCGTGCTTGCTGGATCTGCGAGACCTGTGGATGTTGGATTAGTGCTTGCTATTTGGGATGGAGGTCGACGTCTTACAGTAGTAGGAGTTCTCGTCTACAAAAGTGCAGACAGTACCTCCGACACAACGAGTTGGACCTCTGTAAGTTTTGCCTCCGCATTGGCCGCCTGGCTGCACGGTACCTGACGAGATCGGTGCGGAAGTTGTTGGAGTTGGAGTGGGTGTGTTTTGTCCTGGTACCGGATCGTCGTTACGTCTACAGTTGGATATGTACGACAACTGCTCGGGACAGGTGACTTTTTCCCAGCTCACAGTGGGGTTGTCAGCGTTGCGGAACCAGTCGAAGCGCCAGTAACAGCCGGCCTGGAGAGGTGCTGGTAGAGCATCACAGTCGTCACGATGGGCGACGCCGCCATAGTCGGCGCCCCAAACATCGACCCCGTATTCTTTCGTGCAGCCTTGAGTCGAGCCCTCGCCACCGCCAGGAATGGCAAGATTAAACTGGTCGCCTCCGAGGTCGTTGCCAGTAGTGGTGACTTGTACGATCATCTTCTTGCCATTGACCGGGCCGGAAGTAAATGTCAAGCTAATTGGAGTGTCAGTACACCGCATTACTGCCTCATTTAGCACTCGAACCAAACTTACGAATAACACGAGCAGCACCATGCGGTCTCGTTTGAAGCTGCCAGGTTTACACCGGCAAAGCCATAAGCTAGATCAGCATTGGCCGCCCAAGGACTGAGATCAGAGCAACCGAACGATCCGCCACCACTGTCGCAGCCATCTCGTCTTGCTGGACTATCGAGGAAGTTGTCTTGTGCATCGCAGGATAGCACTGGCTTGCTGACCGGCGCTTTGTTGCTCCAAGAACAAGAGTTTTTGCAGCATGACCATCCACGAGTAGTGGATCCTGTACCTTGAACTGCGCTGCTGGCGGCGTAGGAAGTAGCCAGGAGTCCTAGCGCAACTATTGGAGTAGAGAAAAACCGCATTATGCCCGAGAAAAGCACAATGTTGTTGCAATAGAGTGATGAAGATGGACGATGCGAGTATCGCAGATGCTGAGATGCGATGGAGAAGCCGATACTTATACATACACTGCTGCTGAAGCCACAGCCAAATCATTTCGCACTTGGGCATCTTTGAGCCATTATTGAGCTCATGGGTAATGCAAAATTGCTCACCATCCCGTGCTGCTCGACATGAATGTTATCAGCTCTATTATCAACCCAGGTACCATATTGCGTTCGCGGCTGGTAAGTGTCGTTCATCTATCGATCTGATCGTGCACCAAATCTGGCTGAAGCATCTCTTGTCGATTTATTTGATTTAGCTCGGGCCAATTGTTCGCATGAATAATTGGGAATACCACGGAACGGGCCTGCAACATGCCTCGATCGGTAGAGCCAGGCGCCTCAAAATTTCCGGCAGTTAGAACGCTCGCATTCCTTCCTCGATCTAGACGAGCCATGCCGTCTTTACTGCAGTGCTGAGCCCTGTGCTAATTTTACACTCATGCTATTGCCCTTTCCATGTTCGAAACGATACCGGTAATTGATGGCGTGCCCGCACAATGGTATTACACACGCTATCTGAAGATAGCCGTCCCAAGTTTTGAAGCACTGTACCAGTAAGCAGATCTGCAAAGACATTCTACCTGATTGCTCCCTTCACTCGATTGGTAAACAGCTTTGCGCCACTTCATATCCGTAGACCACATATAGGTCGCTCGATGTGGTATGCTTCCAGAAAGTCTACTCATATGCGTTGTGCCGCTGTGGCGTTTCGTGTGGTCGTAATGTTCGGCCACTCCACATTGTTGAGGGACACTTTCCGCGCCGACAGAAAGCGTCTAGAATGCTCACACTGCTGTGGAGAAGCTTACGGCATTCCTGGAAGCGGTGCTGCGCCGTGCTGTGGTCCCAATCCCACGCAGAACACACGCGCGATGATCCTCCCGTCCGCAACCAGACTGATGGAACCCAGGGGCTTGAACGATCTGGTGGGTCACAATGTCGCAATCCAGGATTCTGAACCTTTTGCTAGCACACAAACTGTAGTGCTCTCTTCATCTCGGTATATATGCGAGTGAGCGTGCTTGCATACCCGGCATAAATAAGCACTATGGATCTCCACAGGCTCTCTGGTAGCGAGAAGCAATGACCACATCGACTCTCGAACGCACGCGCATCATTCCGCCCTCACGGAGACGATGTATCCCACATACAAAACACAGTCGGTAGCATCTTCGCAGCAAGACGTTTTGGATGCGCCGATACAGGGTCGCAACGGCGAGTCTGTTGCGGAGTGTCAAGCGAACTGAATTTCCGCGACTTGGTAGCGCTATGAAAATCGGGCTTTAACGACCCACGTGGGCCACGCTGTCAATTTGCACACCGTTCTTCGATCAGCTGCGCTTTTGACGCAGGCATCAAAGCGACACTACCCCGGGTGTTGGCGTTGTGCCTAACCAACACCAAGTGACGAACGTGGACATGCAGAGAATATTGCGAAGTCAACCCGAGTAGCACCGCGGTGTAGTGGCTCGTGAGACTGCAGCCAGGCGACCACCAACTCCAATCATGCGCTCTGGACCAAACTTCCCTCTATCAGCGGACTGGCTCGTGAACAGTTGCTGCCCTGCGACTAGCCAATCACGATGACCTGGTCCGTGACTATGGCCCGCCAAGTGCAGATATTCGGGCCTACCCTCACTCGGACGGGGGTTTACCTGTCAATGCATGGCTACGATCGTCGCAGCAGTGTCAATCCTTTAACTCTTGCACTTCAAAGTGCGCCTTTTCCACCTCAGTCCAGGATCTTTCTCGAACTTTTGCTTTGCCAGACCCGTTTGTTCGCGCTCTATTCCGGAAACTGCCCCGTCCTGGTTCAACAAGATCTCCTCGCATTCCAGAAGGCCCACACACTTTTCGTGTGACAGCAATCTAACCCCGCCCGCCTCTCTCATTGAGGAGGCGTCACACGACAGGTTACTCGACACCATGACCGGCGTACTCATCGTATGGGCCAAGCTCCCGGCACGAGGCTGTCGACTGGTATGAACAAGAGTATCTCCCGGACATGCGCTCACAGTTTGCACAACATACGCTGCACTGTGAGATTACGCAAACTGGCCTCGAAGGCCAAAAAGTCGGTGTGCTCGACGCTCCGTGGCCATTGTGCGCTATCTATGAAGTCGAAAATGCAAGGGAGGCCACGGCGAAGTGCTACGAAGAGCGAAACCACCCACCCGCACATTTGTTCAAAAACCGTCTAGCAGATGCTTGTTTCGACGTGCGGACATTCGTCGAGCTAAAGAGATGGGAGAATGAAGAGTGGGACAACACCGGTGCGTTAATGTGCAAAGTCACGTGATCTTCTCATCTAATCTTGGCACAGATGTGTCAGCCATCGAGAGCGTTACTTGCCTGGAATGGGCAGTTCCCGTCGACATGCAGGAGGAAGTCTTCAACTTCTACACAGGGACCGTGGTACCTTTGATCATGGGGAGCCCAGAGGTGCTACGACTGCGCATCCTCGAAGTCGACAACGCCATAACACAGCGTGGCTCAACCTTGGGAACTAAAGACAAAAAGACAGTGCACACTTTCCTCACCATAGTTGAGATGGAGAGTGACGAGTGGCCTTGGGATGTCGTTATGGAACTTGCGGAGGACAAGAACTGGGAAAAGTATTTTGAGAAGCAAGATGTGGTGGGACGTGTCCTCCTGTTTCTACTGTGACAATTGCTAATCGTATTATAGAAATGGAGCATCAGTACATATCTGGTGAAGAGGGCATACACCGAGGCGGACAAGCCCCGATCTGCTGGTTGATGCGTCACGTGCCGATCACGTCAACGTCGCCCATACCAGCAATTTTTCACGACAACGACCTCAGATGAAGGCGCTAGTCGACGAGCTCTGAGACGAATCAAAGGTGAAGAAACACAAAATGATATACCTAAACTGCAGAGCAAGTACAATTTTCCAATCAACAACATTCAACGTGTCCAGCACATGTCTATACCAATCTCACATGCATCATCGTCTGACACCACACCCTCACAACATACAGCTTGTCCGAGTCGGTCGCAGCCGCATACTCCGCCTCGCCCAGCTTCCGCACCAGATCTGCTGGACACGTCTCGTCGTCGTCGGCAAACTTGATGTTGCGAATCTCTTTGTAAATTCCCACAGACGTATATCCCAGGACTCCTACCGCACCTAGCGCATCCGCATTAGCATGAGGCGCGTTGAAGCAATGAGTGACTACTAACCTGCAGTAGGCTTACACACCAGATTTCCGACTCCCTTTGCGAATCCAGTGACAACGCCCAGCGCACCATTACGCTGCGCGCCCTGGACAGGTTTCATAAAGAGGTCGAGCAATCCGTCGCCCAAGCCATAAGCAAAGCTCTTTGTCTCCATTAGCTCGTAACAACAACAGCATTGCACGCGAACATACCTTCGCCCCAACCCTCATCCCACTCTTCACCCCCGTAACGTTCTCATAAACCCTAACCTCTTCCCCATACGCCTTGGGCAAATTATGAAAACCCCGCGTAACCCCGTTCAATACCACCATCGGCGTCTTCAAGCTCGCCGTCACAATCCTGCCCAAACCCTTGCCTGCCTCGAGCGCAACCTTGCCTGCGGCTTGCGGCGCGCCGAGCAGTTCGCGGCCGGTCAGCGGCTGCGTGTTGCCGTTTGGATTCTCGCGCTGTGACGATTCGTAACGGCGCAGCACGGGCGTGGCTTGACGACCAAGCTCGACGGGGCCGGCAACGAGGCCGAGCGAGATTTCGCCGACGGTGTCGTAGACGCCTAGCAGGATGCCGGAGATGGGGTCTGTGGGGTCGCGGCGGGCACCGGGGTGTTGGGATATTCTGTTCATATGAGTTGCGTACACGGGAAGATGGAGGTTGGACGTACAGTTCGAGGTCTTTGGCACAGATCAAGCCTTCTTTAACCAGGACTGTGGCGGCGAGTGGTGAGAGCGCCATTTTCTTGCGCTTCATGAGCCAGATTGCGGGTCGGTTGGGGAGGAGACTGCAGGCCTGGATGCCGATGAGAGAGACGATAGTCGCGGGCTCGGTGAGGTAGTGCGAGAGAACTGGGTCTGGCCCGGTCGGAGCAAGAGGAGCGTTTCCTCTTGCCCGCTCTTGTAACACATGGAGAGGAGTTGCTGGTCGGGCAGGTTCTGGATGCTCATTGACTGCACGCGGAAAGGCCAGGGCAAATGCTTCACGATCGGGTGACCGAGACGGCCCATCCGGTTTTTCTTCCTGGACTTCTTCGGCGTCGACTGTTTGTTCGCCTTCGGCTATGGATTGGGTGTATGCTGGTGGTGTAACGATGTAGAGGTCTGCGTTGTTGTCTTCTTCGACTTGTGGCGGATCGCTGTTCACATCTGCATCTGCTTCGTATCATAAGCGTCTGTCTATTTCAGACTGGGTGATGCAGACATACCATCAACGAGCCTTATAAGAGGAGTACTGGTGTCGGTGATCACTTGCTCCATGGACGCCGATTCAGTGGCAGCGTTTGCAGGTGGTGAGTCTGCTGAGGCCATGTTGTTTCCTTCCTCAAACTTCAATCAACGCTTTACAACAATATACTAAAATTTGCTTGAAGAATTACATTCTCTACATATGTACCTTTATCAGTGTCTGCCTAAGCCAAGATATTCGCGTGTTGGTTGAAGTGAATTCGCGCTAGACCAGACGTAGAGGGGCGCAGCTGGCCGCCTAGAGTTACAATTGGACTGAAGCTCGCAACAGCCTCTGGCACTCTAGGGACCCGAGTATGTAAGCTTGGGCAGGGACCTCTCTTGGGACGCCTTGCGCGGGGTTCGCAAGCTCTTCTGGTTTTGGAGTAGGTCGCAACGCGACGCCTCCACACTATTGGATAATTCATGGGGTCGCACGATTCTTACATCGAATTCTGAAATATGCTGTATTGAACGCGTGTAGGTTTGGAGGGATGACAGACTGTCGTGAAGGAGGGTGACGCGTTGCGGAACACTGATAATATTATCGGTCCTTTTCATAAATCTGCGGGACCAAGGTTTCCGAATCGAGATGGACATGCTTGAAGACGTGCAGATCTCCTCTGCTTACAATCAAATTGATAAGTGAGTTATCGACACTTCACGCACTGGCGTCATAGCACTCTCCCATCACGTCGCCATGCAATCTTGCATAGGAGCGAAAGGGTCTATCGTCATACTTGCTCTTTACAAAGCACAGCTTGCCTGAAAAATGCAAGGCTTTGTGTATTGAATCCGTTTCCGATCGAAGATTGGATCCGGGGAAAAATGAGCCTGGTCACATGGTGTGATCGTGCTGAAATACTGTGTACGATGTGTCGCGGAGCTGCCGCGTGCAGAGAAATTGCGTAAGCATTTCTTCCGACAATCCCATGAGCTCGAAGTCAGTTTCGCGTGTCTTTCCCATCTGTCACAAGGTCAGTATAGCGTCTCGGGATAGTTTCGTCATAGAGGTGGCTTACACGTTGAGGAATTACCAAAGAGGTATCCCATCACATCGGGGATATATACCATCCTGAAAAGAGTGGAACCTGTCGCGCATACTGTGTAACAGGGGAGTAGCGTGCATAGTTGGCCTGACGAGCGTGGTTTGCCGTTTCGCAAATTTTGATGTGTTGCATGGAAACGCTGACATGGTGACCACCGTGATTCGGACTTATAGCTCCATGTGCGATGCAAATATAAGCAAGCTACAGTTTGCAATTGCGGACGTTATTCGTGAAGAGGTGTCTCTGCCTAAGAAACGTTGTGGAAAACCCCATTTCAAAACAATTTTGGCCGAACATGACATGGGAACGAAAAAATGTCGGGTGGGTCGAAAGTTGACAACGTGAATCTGAATGGTATCGAAAATCAGCAGAACCGCCTGATACTGAGACATGTGAAGTCGACGACAAAGATTTCGTCACTAGTGGATCGTCAAGGGTTCCGATTGGCCTGTCTCGAGGTATTACGCCCGACGAACGACCATGCTCGTCGAGCGGTCCTAGACATGCGGAATGATGCCTGACAGCCTAAAACTGATCAACAATGGCCCGTTGGCAGTTTCACCGTTGCGCCGACAAATGGGAGTGTCCTGGAAAGTCCACCAGTGAGACGGTTCGCCTCTCGCTGTACATATCGTATGAGTCTTGAGTCTGAGCACGCGTCGTGTTGGCCGACCATGTCCATAAGCTCGAGCATTCCACCCCGCAGCATTGCTACTTCTGCCTTCAACAACTTATTCCTGCGCTCGACTTCGCGAGCCCGCTCCACTAGGTCGTCTTGTTGTCTTTTTTGCTTACTCCTACACTTGCTTGCAGCTTTGCGGTTCTTCTCGAGATATGTAGCTCTTGCTGGATCAAGGCCTACGTCTTTTGTGCCGGGCTTCCGTCCAGCTCGGCACTTTTTCTTTGGGGGGGACTGTGGGTTGAGACTTGTCTGCGAGCTCGTACTGCGTTTATCATATATAGAGTGTTCGCTATCACGAGATTGCGAGCTGTTCGCCGACATCTGGACGCGATTTGGGTCAAAGTTTGCGTTTGTGTAAGACTTGGGAGATGAGCTTCTATGGTTGAAAATTGTGTGCTGTGGCGCTACGGCTGCCGTGTTTCGCTCCATATGTAGGGGGGCTGACGGTCTTGAACATGGACGGCGAGGAGCATCGAATATTTTCAAGAGAGTTGGCCATGGTATTTGTACTGCTCATTGTGTTGCTCATGTCCAGTTGGCTCTCGAGCGAGGTATCCATACACGAAACGGGGAAACGCAGGTAGTCGGGCTCAGTGGCGTACCACTGATTATCGCTTGTAGTGCTAACCCAGGCGTCAGGCATGGGGTAAAAGTCGAACATATTTGAAGTAATGCCGTGAGGAACTTCGGTATCGGGATTCTGGAAGCTAAAGGGAGCCTGTGTTGCGAAATGGTCGGTTGCCATGAGGAAAATCTGGCGAGTATGGTAGGATTGAAGGCTGGCGCGAGAGGTGCAGTCCAATACGTGGTAATTCTAGGCGAAGGCACACTGGATTAATGGATAGCAAGCAAGATTGGGCTAGTGATTATCTGCCAGAAAATGGGAGACAGGTAGGCGAGGACGCGTTTATGCACGAACCGGTAATTCAGTGGGCCAGGCCAGACAAACTCAGTGAAGGGCTAGTCTGCGAGGCTGACGATCATGATGCAACCTTGCTCAGAGACGGCCAGTATATCAGATGCAGAGGAGTAGCATTGTCGCACGACATAGCATGGTATGCTTCACAGGCTTTAGTGCGGCACCCTGTGAGACCATCTCTCGATGGACATGCATCAACAGCATGGCTACGCCATCGCTTCGAGGAGTTTGCTACGGTTGGAGACAGACCCCCTGACGTCTGTCAAGCGTGTGCGGCGCGGCTGGTCGAGCGTAGGGATGTGGTTATCCCGTACGCGAGGCCTAAACCCCCGAATGTACAGTATCACGTACGTATAATATAAACTAGTATAACGTATTATATAACACGCTAAACTAAGATAAGCAAGGCCTTCTTAGAGAGTAAACGTTCTAAGCGTTCTAGTATATCTTCTTATTCCTCTATAACTACTAAATTATTTAAGACGTTTATAAGCTTATTCTTATTATCTAAGTTATTATTATCTTTCTCTACTTTAAGCTTATTAAAATAACTAGAGCTTAAGATTAATATTAAGTCTCTTATCTTAAGGTTTTAGAATAAGTATATAAGCTTCTAAACCTATAAGTTAGTTAGCTAGTTTTAAGCTTTATAGTAGAGAAAGCTATAGAGTAACTAATTACGTTTAGCTGCTCTAGTAGTTAAGGTAATAGAAAGTAAGTATATAGCTAAAGCTTTAAGCTTATTACTATAGTGCTAGTTATACTACTACTCTGCAGAATCTGCGTACTAAGAGAAGCTATTCTATATTAAATCGTTACTAAAGCTTTCTTAATGCTATAAGTAATCTATAAGCTTAGCATATATAGTTTAAGTATACTTAGAGTAGTGCTTTTAGATGTATTAAGCTACCTTCTTCTTTATATAATAGCTTATTATAACTAGACGCTTATTATAAGCTACTAGATTATAGATATATACTATAGTAAATAGTAGGTAGTATACTTAATAGAAGCGTTTCTTAATAATCTTAAGAAGACTAGTAACGTTTAGAGACGTTATATAGGCTAATTACTATATAAGGTAAAAAAAATATTCTATAATTCTTAAGGCCTTAGGTTTATTTGCCTCTAAGATAATTATAACCTCTAAGAAAAGCTTTAAGAATAGCTATAATATTACTAATTACTTCTAGAAGTAGTACTAATAGAGTTATAGTTAGTATATTTTATATATTGCTTGCAATTTAAGTTTAGAGTAATCTCTAAGGCATATTTTAGAGTTATTAATAACGCTAAGAATAAAGATTTTATTAGTAAGAAGTAACTCTATAATATTAAGCTTCTCTTGCTAGCGCGTTTTACTAGGTAATTATAACGCTTATTAGTATTCTCTAGCTATATAAGTAGCCTTATTTAGCGCGCCTATTTATATAGTGCTTAATTTAAAGTACTTAATAGTCTCTATAGTAATTTTAAGCAGTTAGATAATATCTAAGGTCTCTAGAATATTCTCTACTATTAAATTTATAGTATAGAATATATAACTAAGCATAAGAAGCTTAGAATAGTATTTCTTTAGCTCTGCATAAGCTTTTTTTATATTACTAGCATTATTAGTTATTACTATAATTACTATATTGCTGCTGCTAGGTATCTTAGCTATTATTCTATCTAAGCTATAAGCTAATACTTCTCTAGTATACTACTTACTGCTAGTAATCTTACTTTTAAGAAAAATTATATGCTAATATATTACTATAACGTAGTTAATAAGCGCCTTGCTATGCTAGTTTATCTAATTATCTAATATAATTATAAGCTGCTTAGCTAACGCTATAAGTATCTAGTCTATCTATAACTTTATATGCTTATATACCTTATCTAGCAAAGTATTAGTAACTTTCTAGCATATTAGAGGCACGTATAATAAGTAGAGACGCTAGAGAAAGCGTAGAAAAGCAGAGTTTTTAACCTTAATACTATATTAGTAGTAAGTAAGCCTATGTATAAAGCAATACTAATAAAACTAAAAGGGTATACTAGAGCTATAAATAGCTTCTATAAGGCAGTGCGTTATAAGGCTTATTAATTATGCTAAGCTTATAAAGTATTTCTCTCTATTAAGCGTGCTTTAGCACTACTATTTTCTTAGTACTTTAATACTATAATTATAGCGCTTATATAGCTTCTTTAGTAGACTTAGATACTTTAATATATGCTTATCTAGGCGTATAATACTATAGTTATACTAGGTAGATCTATAGAACTTATAAGTAACTACTAAGGCCTTCTCTAAGCGTAGCGCCTAGATAATATTACTCTATTTAAAGTTGCTAGCAGATAATTTTAGCATAGAAATAAGCTTAACACTAAGAAAATTAAGTATATAATAATATATATAAGTATAGATAGCTTTAAAAGTTAATAATAATAAGTAGCTGCTAGGTAGCAGTACTAGCCTCTAAACGCGTCTATAAAACTTAGAAAACACGCCTAATTTTAGTCTATGCATAACAAGGGTAGAGAAGCGTCCTATACGCGAGCTTAATATAGCTATACGTATAGTATTAATACCGTACATTCCGTACATCCGTACGTACGACCCACATCCCTAGTCGAGCGAGCCGTCGCTGTGTTGATCCGGTTACAGATCCCGCAGCGCTGTGATATTCCAGACCCTGGCATGCGATGACCCGGTATTTGTTGCCGAAGCCAATCAAAGATCTGTACCCCGCTGTGAGGAGAAAAAGAATCGTTAGAAGAGTTAGATGGGTGAATAGGTAAGGTCGTCGCGAGAGCCGGCTGGTGGCGAGGGGCAGCTGTCAGCGAACATTATAATAGTGTTTCGCACGTTGCAAAAGGGCCGTGAAGGACCGAAGCGCGATCGTTTGACATCAAATGCCCGCGACCGAAGGGCTGCTGTCGACCAGGTCTGATTTGGGCCTAGTCTAGTTTAGCAAACTTTCGCCCCGGTGTCATCATCCCTCACCAACCACCAACAGTATCAATGAAACCACTCTCCGACTAGCTTTTTGCAGATGCGTATTTGCTATCTCCGCGCGGTTGTGGGCCTTGCACTCGCTTGCGGGGAAGCGCTTCGTGAACCGGATCGGGAGCTTTTCCACGGGATACCTTGTGAGCTCGTACCACGTGCAGACCTTCTCTGCAGCTATGCAGCTACATCAAGACTTTCCTGAGCCGCAATCATTCTCAATGGCATTTCCCAGTATGAGATACGCCGAGCTGATCCCTCAATATCCGCTATATTCACTATCTTCGACACGAGATGAAGCACACATTCTCCTGTTAAGGCTCATGTGCGCCTCAGAAATGAATCGAAGGGATCAGATACGTCCTTGTATGGAGAATTGACAAGTAGGAGTTTCTAAACCAGTTGCGGTTGCCAATCTGAGAAAGGCAGAGCTTTGCCTGGAGAGAAATTTTCGCGTAGACGCAGCGATCATCCCCGAACCCCCCACATCTTCCCAACGCTCGCGCTTGAAATGACGTTTCAGTCTAGCTACATACCATCCCTATTAAGTCACTATGAAATTTTATCAGCTGACTATCAGTTCATCGCGGGAATCCTGGCCGAGCCAGGCGCTAGGCACTTCACGCCTTCCCAAAACTTCGGGCCTCGCGTAGCACAAAGCGAGCCTTAACAAACACGCTACTCATTGTGGCTTTCTACCATGGGTATTCTTGAGCTGCTGGTGGCTTTTCGAAGCCTCCAGGTTCACACATACACATCCTGCCCACGGTTATGGACATCAACTAACCATACAAGAAATAGTGTCAGACACGCCATCGTGCATGTATACCTGTCTCGGGTGGGCCATGGCCGATGCGGTGCAGTAAAAAATGCTAATCTAACTACGGGACTGATTCTGCCATCACCATTACCACAGCTTTCAATGCAGAAGTCTGTTTATTAATTTGTGACAATATGCATGCGGTTCAACACATCTGCGTCACAGAGGGAGGACTTGGCGCAAGGCGCCCATGTAGCCTGCCAAACTCTGCTCTCGCAGCCTTTGCCAGCACTATACGCGGGGCTCATTGCAGCTTCAGGCCTTATGTATCACGCTCTAGTGAACTCGTGAATCTCGAGGTGAGTTTCAATGCAGTGTATCTATCGCTGACGTACCAAGTCTAGTTAGCAGAAAAGAATCAGATGACTTCTCATCCTGCATTTTCCAGTTATTCACAATGTTAGAGAATCTCTTTAGCCCTTCTTTGATCATATACCTTGCTCATGAGTTGCACATCATGCTGTGTACACGTCAGGCCCACCCTCGCTTGCTACTAGGGAATCTTCACCGGACCAATTACGAGCTACAAGCCTTCCCCGCCCCGCGCATTGCTATGCGGAAAGGTCTTGGCTTAATCTCTTCTCGATCTTCAAAGCCCCACAACGGGAACAACGTCAGATATGACAAGCGCTATGCATGTCATGCACGACAACCAGTAGTTGTTGCCATGCTAGGTATACATTGGTGCGGCGATATATGCCTTCTACGCCTGCTTTATCGCGCAACCTCTCCTTGTAGAAGATATATGCCACATGCAGATCGACGCTTCAGCATCTTGCCGCGGAGTCTCCGGTGTTCCAGGTTGGGAGCGCGGCAAACAACTCGCCCAGAGCGACACAAAAATGTTATATATGGGCCATCCTGCTTGTAGACCTTCAAGTATGTAGACAGGGGGGAGCATTCACCGGATTGGTACATGCCATCACATCGGCCAAAATTTCCGAGAGCGGCTAATTGAGTGCTACTCTTTTCTTATCGCCTTTTTGGAAGGTACACACGCAAGCTTTTCAGCTGCACGAAGCGCCCGGATCGGATTACCTGCCATAGGGTATGCTGCTTTTGCTCGGATAATCTTTGGTCATTGCAGCAATGTCCGGCTAAAGACAAGTCATGTTGCAACTTACAAAAAAACATCAAGAATATCTTTCTTGTTTTTTGCCGCATGCCAGGGGCTATGTAGAGTGTCTTCTGCCTGTATTTTTAGCAATGGCATAGTAGAGTAAATGCAAACCACGAAGCTCAGGACTCTGT